ACAGAGACAAAATAAACTACAGCGTCAACACATAGAGACAAAATATACTAGAGCGTCAACACACAGGGACAAAATATACTAGAGCGTCAACACACAGAGACAAAATATACTAGAGCGTCAACACACAGTCAACACACAGAGACAAAATACTATACCGCGGCAACACACAGAGACAAAATACTATACAGCGTCAACATACAGAGACAAAATACACTACAGCGTCAACACACAGAGACAAAATAATATACAGTGTCAACACAGAGACACAAAATACACTTACAACGTCAACACACAGAGACAAAATAAACTACAGCGTCAACATACAGAGACAAAATACACTACAGCGTCAACACTCAGAGACAAAATATACTACAGCGCCAACTCACAGAGACAAAATAAACTAAAGCGTCAACATACAGAGACAAAATATCCTACAGCGTCAACACCCCGAGACAAAATATACTACGGCGTCAACACGCAGAGACAAAATATACAACAGCGTCAACACACATAGACAAAATAATATACAGTGTGAACACAGAGACACAAAATACACCTACAGCGTCAACACCCAGAGACAAAATAAACTACAGCGTCAACACCCAGAGACAAAATATAAGAGACAAAATATACTACAGCGTCAACACACAGAGACAAAATATACTACGGCGTCAACACACAGAGACAAAATATACTACAGCGTCAACACACAGAGACAAACTATACTACAGCGTCAACACACAGAGACAAAATATACTACAGCGTCAACACACAGAGACAAAATATACTACAGCGTCAACACACAGAGACAAAATACACTACAGCGTCAACACACAGAGACAAAATACACTACAGCGTCAACACACAGAGACAAAATACTATACAGTGTCAACACAGAGACACAAAATACACTTACAGCGTCAACACACAGAGACAAAATAAACTACAGCGTCAACATACAGAGACAAAATATACTACAGCGTCAACACACAGAGACAAAATATACTACAGCGTCAACACACAGAGACAAAATATACTACAGCGTCAACACACAGAGACAAAATATACTACAGCGTCAACACACAGAGACAAAATACACTACAGCGTCAACACACAGAGACAAAATACACTACAGCGTCAACACACAGAGACAAAATATACTACAGCGTCAACACACAGAGACAAAATACACTACAGCGTCAACACACAGAGACAAAATACACTACAGCGTCAACACACAGAGACAAAATACTATACAGTGTCAACACAGAGACACAAAATACACTTACAGCGTCAACACACAGAGACAAAATAAACTACAGCGTCAACATACAGAGACAAAATATACTACAGCGTCAACACACAGAGACAAAATACACTACAGCGTCAACACACAGAGACAAAATACACTACAGCGTCAACACACAGAGACAAAATATACTACAGCGTCAACACACAGAGACAAAATATACTACAGCGTCAACACACAGAGACAAAATATACTACAGCGTCAACACACAGAGACAAAATATACTACAGCGTCAACACACAGAGACAAAATATACTACAGCGTCAACACACAGAGACAAAATATACTACAGCGTCAACACACAGAGACAAAATATACTACAGCGTCAACACACAGAGACAAAATATACTACAGCGTCAACACACAGAGACAAAATATACTACAGCGTCAACACACAGAGACAAAATACACTACAGCGTCAACACACAGAGACAAAATACACTACAGCGTCAACACACAGAGACAAAATACTATACAGTGTCAACACAGAGACACAAAATACACTTACAGCGTCAACACACAGAGACAAAATAAACTACAGCGTCAACATACAGAGACAAAATATACTACAGCGTCAACACACAGAGACAAAATATACTACAGCGTCAACACACAGAGACAAAATATACTACAGCGTCAACACACAGAGACAAAATACACTACAGCGTCAACACACAGAGACAAAATACACTACAGCGTCAACACACAGAGACAAAATATACTACAGCGTCAACACACAGAGACAAAATATACTACAGCGTCAACACACAGAGACAAAATATACTACAGCGTCAACACACAGAGACAAAATATACTACAGCGTCAACACACAGAGACAAAATATACTACAGCGTCAACACACAGAGACAAAATATACTACAGCGTCAACACACAGAGACAAAATATACTACAGCGTCAACACACAGAGACAAAATATACTACAGCGTCAACACACAGAGACAAAATATACTACAGCGTCAACACACAGAGACAAAATATACTACAGCGTCAACACACAGAGACAAAATACACTACAGCGTCAACACACAGAGACAAAATACACTACAGCGTCAACACACAGAGACAAAATATACTACAGCGTCAACACACAGAGACAAAATACACTACAGCGTCAACACACAGAGACAAAATACACTACAGCGTCAACACACAGAGACAAAATACTATACAGTGTCAACACAGAGACACAAAATACACTTACAGCGTCAACACACAGAGACAAAATAAACTACAGCGTCAACATACAGAGACAAAATATACTACAGCGTCAACACACAGAGACAAAATACACTACAGCGTCAACACACAGAGACAAAATACACTACAGCGTCAACACACAGAGACAAAATACACTACAGCGTCAACACACAGAGACAAAATACACTACAGCGTCAACACACAGAGACAAAATACACTACAGCGTCAACACACAGAGACAAAATACACTACAGCGTCAACACACAGAGACAAAATACACTACAGCGTCAACACACAGAGACAAAATACTATACAGTGTCAACACAGAGACACAAAATACACTTACAGCGTCAACACACAGAGACAAAATAAACTACAGCGTCAACATACAGAGACAAAATACACTTACAGCGTCAACACACAGAGACAAAATAAACTACAGCGTCAACATACAGAGACAAAATATACTAGAGTGTCAACAGACAGAGACAAAATATACTACAGCGTCAATACACAGAGACAAAATATACTACAGCGTCAACACACAGAGACAAAATAAACTACAGCGTCAACACACAGAGACAAAATATACTACAGCGTTAACACACAGAGACAAACTATACTAGAGCGTCAACACACAGTGACAAAATATACTACAGCGTCAACACACAGAGACAAAATACTATACAGTGTCTACACAGAGACACAAAATACACTTACAGCGTCAACACACAAAGACAAAATAAACTACAGCGTCAACATACAGAGACAAAATAAACTAAAGCGTCAACATACAGAGACAAAATATACTACAGCGTCAACACACATAGACAAAATACACTTCAGCGTCAACACGCAGAGACAAAATACTATACAGTGTCAACACACAGAGGCAAAATATACTACAGCGTCAACACACAGAGACGAAATAAACTACAGCGTCAACACACAGAGACAAAATACTATACAGTGTCAACACACAGAGGCAAAATATACTACAGCGTCAACACACAGAGACAAAATACTATACAGTGTCAACACACAGAGGCAAAATATACTACAGCGTCAACACACAGAGACAAAATACTATACAGTGTCAACACGGAGACACAAAATTTACTTACAGCGTCAACACACAGAGACAAAATAAACTAAAGCGTCAACACACAGAGACAAAATACACTACATTGTCAACTCACAGAGACAAACTATACTACAGCGTCAACACACAGAGACAAAATACTATACAGTGTCAGCACAGAGACACAAAATACACTTACAGCGTCAACACACAAAGACAAAATAAACTACAGCGTCAACATACAGAGAAAAAATATACTAGAGCGTCAACACACAGAGACAAAATATACTACAGCGTCAGCACACAGAGACAAAATACACTACATTGTCAATACACAGAGACAAACTATACTACAGCGTCAACACACTACAGCGTCAACACACAGAGACAAAATACTATACAGTGTCTACACAGAGACACAAAATACACTTACAGCGTCAACACACAAAGACAAAATAAACTACAGCGTCAACATACAGAGAAAAAATATACTAGAGCGTCAACACACAGAGACAAAATATACTACAGCGTCAACCCACAGAGACAAAATACCCTACATTGTCAACACACAGAGCCAAACTATACTACAGCGTCAACAAAGAGACACAAAATACACTACAGCGTCAACACACAGACACAAAATACACTACAGCGTCAATACACACAAAATACACTACAGCGTCAACACACAGAGACAAAATACACTACAGCGTCAACACACAGACACAAAATACACTCCAGCGTCAATACACACAAAATACACTACAGCGTCAACACACACAAAATCCTATACAGCGTCAACACAGAGACACAAAATACACTTACAGCGTCAACACACAAAGACAAAATAAACTACAGCGTCAACATACAGAGACACAATATACTACAACGTCAACACTCAGAGACAAAATACTATACAGCGTCAACACACAGAGACAAAATATACTACAGCGTCAACACACAGAGACAAAATAAACTACAGCGTCAACATACAGAGACACAATATACTAGAGACAAACTATACTACAGCGTCAACACACAGAGACAAAATATACTACAGCGTCAACACACAGAGACAAGATACACTACAGCGTCAACACGCAGAGACAAAATACTATACAGTGTCAGCACACAGAGACAAAATACACTACAGCGTCAACACGCAGAGACAAAATACTCTACAGCGTCAACACACAGAGACAAAATACACTACAGCGTCAACACGCAGAGACAAAATACTATACAGTGTCAACACACAGAGACAAAATACACTACAGCGTCAACACACAGAGACAAAATACACTACAGCGTCAACACACAGAGACAAAATACTATACAGCGTCAACACACACAAAATACTATACTCGAAAGGCATCAATGAACAAAACTGACCATTGCATTCCGGACAGCCATTGACAATCAGGACACTTCCTCGAGGACAGTTGACCGGAAATGGTGGACATGTCGGAGAAGCTGAATAAAGAATAATCAACAAAGTTTTAAATATTCAGATCGAATTTCGTAATTTCATTTTAATTTTCTTGACAGCTAAAATATTTTTTCAATTAAAAACAATCTTTGATATTTTATATATTTCTTGAACTTTCGTCACATATGTTGTTAAGGAATAAAAAAAAATCAGCTAATTTCATGAAGGTCACATGAAATGGGAACGGTTTTGAAATCCCCATCTTTGACTTGCAGTAACGAAAAACGAAAGTGAGACTAAGATGTCGTCTTTTTAATTACGGCGGAGACGGTGATGTCAACATTCTCATGAAGCTCAAACGTTAACGTATGTTTCTTCATCATGACTGATACAGTGTACACGGCGAGACAGAATTCATGTCGTGCGTTCAAAAATCGCCATAAAATGTAGAAAGAAAAAAAAAAGAAAATACTGACATATATCATCCCAAGGAGCGCCACAAATCATGTATATTTTTTTTTATAAAAATCAACACAAAATAGCATTTACGCCGAGTTATCAATACAATATCTGCTAAAAAAACGCATTAGCAATTGCAGGACTGTTTATGAAATACTATTAAATCATAAAGATGAAATAAACAAAATGTTAACAGTCGGGCTAAACCAGGATTCAAGCCCTTGTTCTCAGTTTGTTGTACACTTACTATCACTATTACCGATCGATCTACCTGTTCAACAGATAAGAAGTGTTCTGGCAAATTGTAAAAGGAGAGGATTCAGCAGTGGGAGCTGAATACTCCAACCCTACCAGATAAAGAAATGAACCTGTAACTGTAAATAGCTATATTCCGTCTTTGCGTATTGCAGAGTTGTCTTCTCTTGTGAGCAGGTATTGATTGTTACGTCATTGGTTTGTGTGAGAAAATGACGTCATTTTCTCAAAAAATGATGATGTTACTCCCACAAACCAATTACGTAACAATCAATACCTGCTCTCAAGAGAAGATAACTCTGCAATACGCAAAGACGGAATAGCAACCAGAAGTCAAACTAGTGCGCGTGTGTACAGTATACATAGGACGAAAAGAATATCATACATCACCACAAGCTACTAGTTAGCTTACATCGATGTCATCTGAGCGAAACTGAGCGAAATAAACTGTGCTACAGCTATTTCCTAAACGAAATCAAGGGGAGGTTACTGTATCTACAGAAACTACAGTGCAGTGGGACAGGGATCCTTAAGGAAGTTAAGCGCAGGTAACTGTATATATGAAAAACCACAGTGCAGTGGGACAGGGATCCTTAAGGAAGTTGAGGGCGGGTAACTGTATATATGAAAAACCACAGTGCAGTGGGACAGGGATCCTTAAGGAAGTTGAGGGCAGGTAACTTTATATATGAAAAACCACAGTGCATTGGGATAGGAATCCTAAAGAAGTTTATAATAAAAGTCAAACTTCGGTAGCAATTCCGATACACCTTTACATTTGTTGATACACCGCTTTACGCCGATACTAATTTAGTTTATTCTGCTTTGTCAGCCTATTACGCGACATCCATTTTGATTGTATGTAAACATTAACACTGACTAAATGTATTTTACAAAAGAAAACTAACAATACATTGACACCTTTATCTTTTAGTTCCTTTACATCAATGCTAATTTGATATATTTCATCAAGTCAAGTTTACAATACTTTTTACGCTTGATCTATATATTTATACAACGCTCAAATGTATCTATATATTTTCAGATATTTCATTAAGTCAAGCTTACAATACTTTGACGCTTAATTGATGTAGCTGATACAAACCTAAAGGTGTCTATATATTTTAAGATATTTCAACAAGAAAAGCTAACGATACTTAGCTATCGAACTATTGTGAAATAAGACATCCTTCTGTTTATGAAATTAGTCAATATTTAGCGTCTGACTCAAAAGAAAATACACCAAAACCGGGTATGATGACATCGTCTCGAACTTTTGTGAAATAAGACATCGTTATGTTTATGAAATAAATCAATATATAGTGTCCGACTCATAGGAAAATACACCCAAACCGGGTATGGTGAAACAGTCTCGAACTATTGTGAAATAAGACATCGTTATATTTATGAAATAAATCAATATATAGTGTCTGACTCATAGGAAAATACACCAAAACCGGGTATGGTGAAACAGTCTCGAACTATTGTGAAATAAGACATCCTTCTGTTTATGAAATTGTCAATATTTAGCGTCTGACTCAAAAGAAAATACACCAAAACCGGGTATGATGACATCGTCTCGAACTATTGTGAAACAAGACATCCTTCTGTTTATGAAATAAATCAATATACAGTGTCTGACTCATAGGAAAATACACCAAAACCGGGTATGGTGAAGCAGTCTCGAACTATTGGGAAATAAGACATCCTTCTGTTTATGAAATTTGTCAATATTTAGCGTCTGACTCAAAAGAAAATACACCAAAACCGGGTATGATGACATCGTCTCGAACTATTGTGAAACAAAACATCCTTCTGTTTATGAAATAAATCAATATATAGTGTCTGACTCATAGGAAAATTACCCAAAACCGGGTATGATGAAACAGTCTCGAACTATTGTGAAATAAGACATCGTTATGTTTATGAAATAAATCAATATATAGTGTCTGACTCATAGGAAAATACACCAAAACCGGGTATGGTGAAACAGTCTCGAACTATTGTAAAATAAGACATCCTTCTGTTTATGAAATAAATTAATATATAGTGTCTGACCCATTGGAACATACACCTAAACCGGGTATGAAGAAACAGTCTCGAACTATTGTGAAATATGTTATCCTTCTGTGTATGAAATTTGTTAACATTTAGCGTCGGATTCATTAAGGAAATACACCTAAACCGGGTATGATGAATTCGTCTCGAACTATTGTGAAATAAGACATCCTTCTGTTTATGAAATCAATCAATATATAGTGTCTGACTCATAGGAAAATTACCCAAAACCGGGTATGATGAAACAGTCTCGAACTTTTGTGAAATAAGACATCCTTCTGTTTATGAAATAAATCAATATATAGTGTCTGACTCATAGAAAAATACACCAAAACCGGGTATGATGAAGCAGTCTCGAACTATTGTGAAACAAGACATCCTTCTGTTTATGAAATTGTCAATATTTAGCGTCTGACTCAAAAGAAAATACACCAAAACCGGGTATGATGACATCGTCTCGAACTATTGTGAAACAAGACATCCTTCTGTTTATAAAATTAATCAATATATAGTGTCTTACTCATAGGAAAATTACCCAAAACCGGGTATGATGAAACAGTCTCGAACTTTTGTGAAATAAGACATCGTTCTGTTTATGTAATAAATTAATATATAGTGTCTGACTCATAGGAAAATTACCCAAAACCGGGTATGATGAAACAGTCTCGAACTATTGTGAAATAAGACATCCTTCTGTTTATGAAATAAATTAATATATAGTGTCTGACCCATAGGAAAATACACCAAAACCGGGTATAAGAAACAGTCTCGAACTATTGTGAAATAAGTTATCCTTCTGTTTATGAAATTTGTCAATATTTAGCATCATACTCACAAGGAAATACACCAAAACTGGTATGATGAAACCGTCTCGAATTATTTGAAATAAGACACCCTTCTATTTATAAAATTTGTTAATATTTAGCGTCAGACCCATAAGGGAATACACTCAAACCGGGTATGATGAAACAGTCTCGAACTATTGTGAAATAAGACATCGTTCTGTTTATGAAATAAATCAATATATAGTGTCTGACTCATAGGAAATACACCTAAACCGGGTATGAAGAAACAGTCTCGAACTATTGTGAAATAAGACATCCTTCTGTTTATGAAATTAGTCAATATTTAGCATCATACTCACAAGGAAATACACCAAAACTGGTATGATGAAACCGTCTCGAATTATTTGAAATAAGACACCCTCTATTTATAAAATTTGTTAATATTTTGCGCCAGACCCATAAGGAAATACACCCAAACCAGGTATGATGAAACAGTCTCGAACTATTGTGAAATAAGACACAATTCTGTTTTTAAAATTTGTCAATATTTAGTGTCAAATATAATATGCCGTACGTAGATAACTTTTTATCAGAAGGGACAAACCAGATGAGGCTCGTACATGATAACTCGTTCTTATTTGGGCGTGGATTTAGATACGTTTATGACCTTGATGACAGACCGCGGGATATTTTAGTTTAGAGAAACACGTTAGCTTTAACGGGTTTAATAGGTGGGTAATTGACAAAAAAAATCTAACACTGGGTCGAAGGTTACCGGATATACGTGTTTAAATGCTTACGACGGCACCTAAAAGGTAGTGGGGATCTCCCGTAGATCACTGTTTGTCTAAACATTACGGCATTCCAGACGGTGTGTGTCAAGTGTTTGTGTGACCTCACAACACCCGGCGAGAAAGGTATTACTTGTGTCGTGCAGTGACTCTATTAACTTCCTTTTCAACGTTATGTTATTGTCCATTGAGTGGAAAATGTATGGATTAATAGTACGTTAACTGGAATAGCTCAACGGCTTGTTGTTATGTCTATTTAACCTAAAACAGTGTTCCGTTATGACGATGATATAACATGTCATACACTATGTAGATTCGGTAAAGGAACAGCAGAGATATAAAATTATACTGAAACACGTTCAATGGTCTAAAGAAACACCTGTAACACCACATCCATGGTCACAATCTCCATGGTAACAATGGAACAAGAAATGGAAAGATGCATGGTGTTCGATGATTTTCTACGGGATGAGGATATAGCGAAACGTCAATATCCCAAATACAAGGTAGGTACATGATATTTTACACTTTGTAATTAGTTAAATACCTTATGAGCGTGCTTCATTTAAATTTTCGATATATATCAGATGACACGCATTGTCCCTGCATCCTCATTGACTTGATTATAATCACATGGACAATAAGTGTCTCTACAATTTGAGACTACTGAAAGCTATCTGAAACATATCATAAATGGGATTCGTGTTAGAGTTCAGATTATATGATATCGTACCGATTGCGCATGCTATTTTTTTACATGTGATTTGTGTTAACATAGGGTTATATGGTACCTTACACATTGTATATGTGGGTTGTGTTATAGTTAAGGTTATACATGCTACATTTCCCATGTAATCTGTGTACGATTTAAGATTAAGGTATTCTACATGTGATTAAGGTTAGAATTAAAGAGATATGTGAAAACTTGTCGTGAAAATCGGTTGTTTTCATACATAAACCAATCTATCGGGTGGTCAGATGGTGCAGTGGATAGCGCACTTGTCTTTCACCAAGGCGGCCGGGGTTTGATTACCCGATCGAATGTGAAAAGGTTATTGTTGTAAAATATATAAAGTTTATAATAACCAATCAATCATATTTACGTTTGATAATTTAGTTTTGGTTATACTGTTTTGCAGTATCTCACACACCCTTCGGTCCTGTCAACTTTTCAACACACTACATTCGGCACTGTATTTATTATCAAGCCGGGTAATAATGGAACCGCCATCATTAACTGCTTCCGCCACAAAGTACTGAAGCACGTGGACAGAGTGGGTCAGGTGGGGAGAAAGGAAAAGATAGGATTTCCGACACTTGGCTTTACGTCACTTCCGGCAGGTGGAAAACTGCTGACCAATGTACACGACAAATGTGTCATGAGTTTGACGGACACTGGTGACGCGAAGGTGTTATTCAGCACCGCCCCTCTTATTCCCCTACAGATATGCGACACAGAAGGTAAAATTTTGCAGAACATTTCTGTATAACTGTTTGATGAAAGGCTAACATAATAGGAGTAACTTTCTATGAATATACATCGGATAATTAAAATTATCTAAAAATGAAATTGGGTTTCTTTATTTGAACTGAATACCATTAAAATTATATTTTAACCCATTAATAAATCATCCTATCCGATGTCATAGGAGAATTGATGTTCGACATTTTAACCTCAAATACAACTCCTACTCAACTATAGGTCTGCTGTGAATGCGAGACTTTTCTTATGAGGAAACATGCTCCATAAAATGATGAAACTTATTTCGTAATTGTTGTTACATACATAAAGTCTACATGATTACTCGCCAATCGGAATAAATTATCATTCTGTAAACTTAATATAGAGAAAAAATGTAGTCTTGTGAGGTCAGAAATGTGATTTTCGCATCATTGCTAAATGAGACCTTGATTTTTTAAATCCTTTAGTCCTTTCGTATAGGTCGTTTTATGTGAATTTTGTAAAGTCCGAGGTACGAAGACACTATGTTTATATAGAGGAAATGTATTCAGTATAACGAGTCACTGTGAACTTTACTGTCAATCTACTGTATCAACCCAAAATCATTAGGACTTATTGAATTCGTAATCCGCATACGCAATTCCAATTTCAATTTAATAGCAACACTAATATGTTAACTATAAAGCATCAATTTTCACAGAATATCATTTTCTATGTCCTTGACCTTTGACCTGGTGACCTAAGAACCCGTATGCTTCGAGTACTCTAGTCGTGGTGAAATGTCTAGACAGGGGATTAATTCATCAACAAGCTTCGACTTGTTATATTTTAGTCACGATATAACGAAGAAATTATAAAAAAAGAGAAGGCTTGACCTGTTTCGCTACAAGTGATCAAAACAATTATTTGCATCATGAATGTGTTGGAACGTTAGTTTTCAATACGAAGTAGCCATGATTTTTGCAATCATAATGTTTCTTTGTTTTTGTAGACAACTCTTTGCTGGTTTCACTTTTGGATAACACCGAGTATGAAATAAACGACAAAAACATCCGAGTTTTGACAAAGTACACCAAAACAGGACTGCGTATTACCACTGTCGAACGGGACACTCGAGGCCAGCGGCTGTTTTGTAGGCCTGGAAGAGTTAGATATAATAAAAGAAATGGACAAATAATTGCTGGGAATAGAACAGGGGAGACAACAGCACATATTGTCGTATTCGATACGGACTTAAGACTGCTGTTTCGTTACCTTGGAAACGGAAGATCAGTTTCATCAGATGACGATTTTAACGTGAAACTCATCAATAAGGGCTTTTTCGCCGTTGACGCTGACTACGATATTTTTAATAACATCGTTGTGCTAGACAACATTACAAAGTGTGTAGAACTGCTTGATTGTTACGGGCAACTATTGAAAATCGTAATTCAAGACTCTGATGCACCTCGATCTTTGTGTGTCAACTTCGATCAAACGCTTTGGATTGGATTTACAGATGGACAGGTCAAGGTCATCAAATACGTAAGGAACATTTAAATTTAACATTTAAACCAATCTGTTAATCTCAATATCACTACAGGGTTCAAAATTGTTATCTATTACTTTGATGATACACAAACAATGTATCCGTCTATCTAGTACATTGATAATACACCATCAGGGTACCCGTTCATTTTCGAATAATAGACTGAACACTGGGCCCCTGGATACAAAAGTCGTGACAGCTCAGTATCTTTCACGACTTTCTTGATTCATTACAAGACAATTTATTTTAGATTAAGTAGCAACATTTCGTTAATTGACACAATTTTTGTATAGCGTTACCTTACCATGTCTTAAACCATTGACTATTTTGACCTATAGATCAAAATGACAGAATTTTTTATTATAAATTATCAACAAAGTCATGGGCGTTTCCAACTTAGGCAAAAGCGTTCCTCAGATATAACTACCTACATGGTACGTGTTTAAACATATATTTATATTTTCGGCCCGAACTAAACTACAAGGCAGTACTTATCATTTATAAACAAAATATGGATGCATTATATTCATAGTAGTGATGTCATGGTTCTCATATGTATGTCCTTTTTTTACAGTTGGAGGAATGCGATGCATCATAACCCGGATAGCTTCCCGTGTGGTATAATTCTGACACATGTTGACCGGACACGAAGGGTAGAACCCCAGCCTACTGGTACACTGCAGTCAAACGCTTTAGACCTTGTGGCCGACCAGAAATGTAACAAGGCAAAAGAATGATAAAAGATTTTTTGACAATTTTCATAATTTCATTTTGAAAACTTGTTGTTAAATTGACGTTAGGCTTTAGCAGTCTTTTCAACAGTTTGACCAGGAACATGTATATCAGTATGTTTCAGGTTATGTATGAATGCATTTAGTTATGTGTTATCCGTTGATGCATTTATCATGTAGTTGTATGATGTTTGGGTGGGGTATTACATAGCTTTGTCGACTGATGTCAATGTCGCTACGTGTCCTTAATCACTTAAACCTTCGGGGATTATATATGGAAGCTTACCAGGATATATTTGTATTTATCAAAACACTTTAAAACCTACTGAGGTGCTGTTTCAGTTACTACAATTATACGTAACAATAATACGATGCATACAGTAAATGTAAAAAGGTTTGTATTTTATGTTTATTTTAAGGTAAAGGGCATCAACAAGTTTATATACATTATCACCATTGTCACAATTGTGAAATATTTGTTTAAGGCTTTTTAAAAAGAAGAAGTCAATAAAAACCTGAAATTAAAATGTTTGAAAATGGTGATAGAAAAAGCATCAAACGAGAAAAGTACAGTTGTCAAAGTTAGGAAATTGACATGCAGGAATTATACGAGCTTTACATCAAAATGTGTGTCCGTCCAATTTATTAGCCGTTCGGTATTATTTGTTCGTTCAGGTTTTAGTGTCATTATTGAGCAGTATACACCACGATATGCTATTTCAGACATAAGTTATATGTCTATTGTTGCCGGATGTAAACATTGTGAACGGTGGGATTAGCTATGATTTTGTTGTTGGAGCCATCACAATAAATGTGTCTGAAGTTAGGGAATAGATGAAATATGGAGATTATCAATACGTTTGAAAACTTACAGTATTTTTGGATATATGTTAAGAAAAGTATTGCATACTCCTTACGTAAAACAGGGTCATTTTCGACACTGACTCGAATTCGTTGGTGGACAAGGTCTTAAGAAATAACAAAAATGTATTACTATTATCTTTAGTCAAAGGTTAAAAAATAGTTAAAAAATAAATAAAAGACCATATCCATATATAACAAACAAAACTTTACTTTACCCTTGCCACTGTTAGCTCCCGTTGATCCTCCATTTTGAGTTGAAGTTCCGGTGTTGGAGCTATGTCCACCCGTTGTTGCCCCCACCATTGGTCCAGTGCCAGACCCCAATTGTGTTATGCTTCCTCCGGCCGTTTGTGCGGACCCAGCATCCGCACCACTTCCGGTATTCAATGAAGGTCCGGTTCCTCCGTTTGCAGCAGCACCGGATGTCGATGAGGCTATGTGGAACATCATGGATTCAAATAATCTTTCCCATAATAGTACAATATCTTCCAATAAAGAATCAACTTTTGAATACTTCATTATGCTGAAATAATTTATAATGTTTTTAGTAATCGTCAACTTTAGATTACTTTAAACTGTATTCTATCGCCAAACACATACTTATTTATGATGTTGCATGCTTACATGCCGTCACAATTACAATTGATTTTGAAAACAAATATCGGTTTCGTTGAAAAAGAGAGAAAGCAGTAAGCAGGTAAAACAAAAGATTGATCCGTTCTATATAATCAAGTTATATAAACTATATAATCTGTCATTTAGAACAACTATGAGGTGATACGTCCATGATGATGTCATAATTATGATATAATTATGTATCTGTTTTTATTTGTACTGAGCTGACATTTTCTAGTCTTATAGTCAGAATAGAATATTTGCATCTGTGTTCTCTAACTATGATATCATAACTGTATATTGAAATACATATCTTAGGGACATGAAGGCAAACGTGATTATTGGTAACCAATAGAGACACAATTATATTGTTAAACTATTAAACAGGAGAGCAAATACAATTTACAACTCTCGGACGAAAACTTAAGACCAACTGCACTCCGGAATATTAGTTTACTGCAAATACTATCTCATACTGACTATGGGTTAATTTGTATATATTGGCACGTTAGTACCTTCATATCAATAGAGTAATTCAAGAAAGTAGGCATTTATGTCTGTATCACCGTATTCTCTTATTTTCATTTAAAAAAGGGATAAGATCTAAATTTCACGAAGATGAATGTAATAATAAATGCCACAGGAGCGAAAGTAGTTGAACGTGAATTTCTCTTATGTTATTTAGGCAAGGACCGATGAAGTTCGATGGTATCTGTGACTCAATTATGGGGCCAAGTTGATAAGACATATGACATTCTACTACCACTAGCCTCCACCATTGGGTCGTAGGTTCGAGGCCTAAGTTGGGCAGTTGCAAGGTACTGACCGCAGGTTAATATAATTTCATTAGTTTGAGGTACGAATTAGACTGCAGTTGTTTTCTCCTGTCGTATGCGTGCCACATGAGGCAGCCTGCAGAGTCCGTGCTTGCGTCGCACGTGTGGGTGTGAAAGGTGTTAGGTGACACGTTCACACATATTTTCTAGATTTTTGAGGATATTTCCTCTTCGTATCACTTTAACGAAACTGATACCCGAGTAAAATAAGTATAGCTAAGTAACGCTATTGATGTTGATGTACATTGAATTTGATAGGATTTGAATTGAGTATGTATATTGAGGATGCAATGTGTTTTTGTTTTGTAATAAACTCAGTACGCGGCGCGGTCGTGCCGTTGTTATTTATGAAACTGTTGGGTTATTGTTTTGTGACAATCAGGCACACATGGTGCAACAGGAGAAATGTTTTTCTTCGGGTACTCTCCACCAAAAAATCCACCTGACACGTCTTTGAATAACCATAGCTGTTAATAGGACGTAAAATACAAACAAACCAAAAAAATCATCTGTGAGTACTAACCGCATCCCTTGATACAGATGATACATCCCGTCACACTGTCTATATCCTGACAGGCTACAGAACAGCCCATCCACGGACACTTCCCCGGGAGATGGTCGGTACCGTGACCAGTAGATGCACTCTGAGAGGGAAAATCTTTAAACCGGAAATTACGTCACAGTCATAAATATACTTAACATGTGATGACACTTCCTAATTATGATAATATACTATTATGTAGGAAATGAACTCATTTAAAATTACATAGAAGGTATAGATACTAATATTTCAAATCGTTAAATCCGTGCTTTCAAGCTGCAAAACGTTAATTGCTCATTAATTCATTCTAAAATTGATTTGACTAAATATAATTTGTGGATATAAAAGTACCTCGGCGATCATGTTTAACACTCAAATTAGATGCTTTTGTATTTATCTGCAATGATAGATTCAATTTGATCTATGCATAAACTTGTATTATGATAGCACTAGGATGATCTTCAGTTGTGAAATATTTCCCTCTGAAATGACCGTTATTCCCTACTTTATTACCACCATCGCCTCCCTACTGACCATCATCGCCTACCTACTGACCACCATCGTCTACCTACTGGCCACCATCGCCTACCTACTGACCACCATTGTCTACCTACTGACCACCATCGTCTACCTACTGACCACCATCGCCTACCTGGTCCATTGTTTCCGGCATGTTGAACGTATCCAGCATTTCCACCTGAGATAGCCTGGTAATGGTTGTGTGTATTATCAAGGTAGTAAGTTGCATCTCCTGGCGCACCATTCACGTTTTGGGAACCGGAAGTTACGCTGCTCCTTATACTTTGGCTACTTCCGATACTCCCGCTGTTACTACTCCCAGCTGCATTTCCGGTAAACTCGTTTGTCATATCACCAGGGTTACTGTATTGGTGACCAAACAGCATAAGGAAGCGTCTGTCCAGGGGATTACCTGATATAGACTGGTAGAGTTTATATAGAAACCTGTCTAGACCAGACATCACAGAGAACATATAACTGTTAAGTAGGGTCGGGTTGTCTGTTTACACGTGTCCAGTTAACTAACAGTTTGCAAAACATTTGAATTATACGAGTTTCAGGTGTACGGAGTTAAGGTTAAACAAACGTGAACCCCTATTTATCCCCCATTTTACATAACCTTGATAACTACATTTCTTTTGAGTAGTGGCAGGGTGCATAATATAACAGTTTAAGAATAATTTAATTTGAAATCAACCAGTACTCTTTGTATTTCAAAAATTAAGATGTTTTGCACAATTTGCATTCTGTTTAAGAAGTAGTTTGAACAAATTTGGATTCATAACGTTAAGGCCCTAGCATCACCGATGAGTCCTTGATGGACAAAGCAGCTGTATTATGCAGTGTAATTAATTTATGTTATAGTGTATCTATTTTATATTTCACTTAAAACGCGCTTAGGCACTTCCCCTGTGAAAAATTATGAACGGAAACCTTTATAACGAAAAGTATTGCCAAGAATGAGTAATCTAGAAACAGCGAACCCAACACCAGAGGCCAGAAGTGTCTGGTAGACTATGGGATCTAGTAGGGCACGTCAACAAGTTGACATACATTTCTGCCAACTACTATGCAATCTCCAACAGCATCATAAACCAATAAACACTTCGTAATTGTTCTGTCGACCTGCCGGTTGCGCATTGCCTGTTTCACATAGAAGAAAATAAAATGCGAAAAAAACCTATCATGATTGAAATGAGTGTCAAAAGTCGATCTAAAACAACTATATGCACTGAAGCTGTACTTCTTATCTAACACTAACAAGGAACGATTGCCAAGATGCAAAGGGCTACAGCAGGAGGATCATGATACAAAATTGACCGCTCATATACTTTGTCGTCGATGATATTTCCCACCTCGGATTAGATCAACCAGGCTCGTATTCTCGGAAACGAATAAATGTGCACAAAGTTTAGTCAAAATAAGAAAACCCAAGCTGTTGATGCAACATCGGAAGGGAAATTGGACCGGGTTAGAAATGGCATCAAGCTAGAACTAATAAAAACTATTAGATGCATTGGCTTTTTGGTAGCAGTGACATTAGAAAAAATATGTGTATCATGGTAGCCCTTGTACAGAAAAAGCATAACGGAAATGAAGATGACATATCGATTAATATTAGGATTTGTCACTATCACTGTGGCATCTGTCTGTTCTGTGGTCGTAAAGTCTTGTCCAGACAGCTGGAGCGAACGCAAAACGGCAAACACACATGTATGTTCCAATATTGAAGCAAAATATTGTTTGAGTAAATTAAAAAAATAAATGCATAGCCCTACGGAAGCATGACAAACATCAGGATGATTACTCGAGCAAGGAATCTGAAGCCTGCGGGGCATTGTATTAGATACCCGTACTACTTGACTACATGTGACAGGATGTGGTTTCCATATAAGGTGTCAAAGTTTGTTGTATACCATGGCTCATGCAACCTGACACAATCAGTCAAGAAACTGGACTGAGCTGAATGGACGTTCGACGGAAGTATGAAAATGTTTTGTTGACCATCCTCTGAGAATTCAAATAAATTATCTGACTACTTTATAATTCATAATTTGAAGAAGGATTGGAAAAAAATAAAAATGAATAAAAGTGATGACAATGAACAAAAATAAAGACAAAAAATAAGGAAACAAAAGTTGATCAAAAAATAATAAAACGCCAAAAAATCGAATGCAACAGATATTTTGTTTAACATATTTGAATATAAATTCGACGGGAAATAACTGACGAGTCAAGCATTAAGTAGGTGTGTATTGTGTGCTTTCATATATATCATGGTTATGTTTACATAGACGACAGCCCTTATCAGGACCGGACTACACACCTTATCTTAAGAGGTCACAGGTAAAACTTCCTATATACACACTTAAGTAGTCAACATCTGCCTAAACTTCCTGTACATAACCTTTAGTATTGATATTATTTTAACATTGTCTGATGTGTACCTGTAAGGGCATACACTAATGGATTCGCACAACTAAATCATTTATATATAATTCATGCTACTAATTAGCTTTTGGCCTCATATTGAAGTTCACTTGTGGTCCCTGCAGGTAGGGCGTAAGAAGTGTACCTTCTGCCCCCATTGCATGATCGTAAGAGGTGACTAAATTTGGGATCTTATCTTTTCGCTTCTTTCTAAACAATTTTCTTCTTCTTAATGTCCCCCTTAACAATGCCTCACTTTTGGCCTTTAGTAGAGCGTTCGCCCCTGTGAGGAAGGCTTTGGGTTCCGTCCCCTGGCCGAGACATACCAGAGTCTGTACATGCTCAGCAATTTAGAAGTGGGACAACTGGCTCGCCCGTTGTCACTATAATGTGTTCGGGTGGGGTGTCTTCGGCAGTATGTTTCAGTAAGGTAGTATTACAAAGTCGGCATCAGTTCCGCGTTATCACATGGAGACAAACACGAACATATCGAGCCTCCCAAAAAATACACGCATACATTACACGCATGCAACTTGCACACAGGTGAGGCCGTCCTTAAATGACCAAAGCTGTTGATAGAACGTTAAACAATACTAAACCAAACCAACCCAAAAGTTTTACTTCTGGATTCAGAGATCCCGACAAAGGCTGCAAAAGATATTTTGGGACAGTGCTAATGACAAATGAGCTTGTCACAGCAATCAGTTGATGACAACCGGAAGTTTACATGCAAAACTGACTAAGTGGTACGGTCGCAGCAATGACTTTTTACCCCTTTATAAATCCGCCATCAGATATCAAAATCTCTCATTGATGACCTGCCCCTCAAACACATTCTATATACACTGTTTAAAACATCGATTTACATTAATATTCAATAAGATGTTCTCGCTAAGTGCTTACTGAATATTTGACATCAATTTGCATTGTTTTGTGCATTTTCAAAAACAATAATTAGCAAAAAACTGAAAAAAAACACCACACTGAGACACTAACATTTTACGGATAACTATTTTTGCTTAATGCGGCGAGGACAACAGCGTTAAATTTAACGTTCAAGTGTATGTTTTTGAAAAGATAGTTAATTATGGATTTTTGCGTTTCATTTTATCATGCAGAATTCACATCCCTGGAAATATTAGACCCTGCAAATGTCAAGTTTTGAGTAAATTATAATATCGTAAAGTGCCAATACAGATAATCGAACTGATGTGGGCAAGCTATCAATCGTAATTAACGATTGCTATAAACGACTGTTGTTCTGTCAAAGTGTAACTGTAATAATGTAATTACTGTACGGTAATTCAATGAAATTGAAATAGAATCCAGGTTAACATGTCATAATGAAGATCTAGACAATATATTCACACGAATTATCAAACACAAACATGTTCAATGTTATTAGTGGAAATGGTGAGATTTAGGAAAAAGTAATGTCTTTGTTACTTACCAGTAGATATTGTACACAATACTGCAATACGTAGAAACACACGAAACATTTTTGTTCAATTTAAACTAAAAGTTGATATAAGAGGATAAGATGGCAGGGAACGGTACAATATCAATTGACTTTATCTCTGTTGTACACGAGTTCTTATCTATTGCTCAAGGGAGGAACACTGTAACAGAATTCACATGTAAATATCACCAAACTGTCGTTGTGGAGCTGATTTGAACCAATGCCTGCAAGTTTATAATGATAATTAATAATAATAAAATCTTTAATTTAGGCAGGGTTACATAATGGCCCTGTCATACACAATTTGCAATGGACTCGATGATGTCATAAACAGTACAAATATATAATAACAATAACAATGAAGATCCTGACTAGTTAAACTATAAAACTTCGTCACATCTAAAACACTTTATGCAGGTATTCCTTCTTGAAAGATTCTAGACTAGGTAAAATATGCAGTAAGCTTTCTAAAATGTACCACACAATGGTCACAGAGTAACCAAAACATATCTTATAATTAGTTGTCAGGAAGTTAGAAAGACGTAGATGTCACGACCTTGTTCTTGCCAGATGGCACCATTTTATAACAGTTTGTCGCGCTCGTTATAAGCAGTTGGGGAATGTAAATTACTCAGATAGTAATGGACTCTGACAAAGGTATTCAATGTTTATTCAAAAGTTAATAACGAAATATTGAAAAGAATGCAATAAATAAAGATTGGAAGATACAGAATTAAAATAAACAATGGCATACTAATGGAAACATTGAGAACATAACATATACCAAACGCGAAATGCTTGATGACGATAACAATGCTTGCAAAATGGGTGACAAAAGATTGTATAAAAACAAAACACTCAAAGTGGCAATTATAAACCCATATCCCCAAACAACAGGAGTCGAATAATCATTAGTTGAAGATTAATATTATGTATACGACCATCCGATACACATTCTACAGGCTCGAGCAGAGAATGACCTGCTGCGTTCCACCGCTTGTTATCACAAGAAACGACCTACGTGATTACCATGCAGATTCATGGATTTTCTTTTGTTTTTGTCCTGCTGTAGTTATATTGAAGACATAACAATTTTGACACTTGGTGTCTGTCTTCCTTTATCAGTTCCCTGCTCTATCTTCGGCAGTATCTCCACAGACATCTGTCGTCATATAAGATGACGTTAAACCCGACGAAAAACATATTCAAACATAATGTAAGACGTTGGTCAAGATGTCTTTATAATATATTTGCAACTCATTCATCATGCTCAAACATACAAAGTGAGGATGCATATATTTATGACAAACAACACGGTCTATAATTTTCCTTTCCTCAGTAGTACCATGCCGGTCGTTTTAACTTGGACCTAATCTGTCACGATGTTGTTTAGTGCTCCAAATTACAAGTGTGATTCTTTTCTTTCCTATCAAAATTTGATATCATAAATACCTATGTAGTACAGAAATAAAATATCACTCAATTATTTTCGCCGAACATTACCTGTATACCACCTGTCGATCATTATAAGTTTTAAAAAAATCAGTGTTTTCCTCCTTATGGAGAACCACCTTTAAAGGGTTTTATAGAAATACTGTGTTGACTTAATACGTTATAAGATAAAAAATAAATAATAAGGGATTCTTTATGCTTATAGACTATATTCGAAAATAACGATCGTATATATAGCAAAATCCCTGTCATAATGACTTATTATAATGGCACGTATATACTTGTTTGTGCTCGGGCTTACGTTTGATGTCAAGGAGATACTTGAACCACAGTGCTGTATTCTAAACTGGAAAAACAAACGTTTAACTGATTAAGATTACAACAATAGAGTGCGCTTTCATGTTATGTAGAATGCTCCCGCTTAAATGTACCATTAAAAATGCAATAACACTGACAAACATTTTATTCAATTCTGATCATCAGACTGAGTAGCGTACTGGTAAATGTGTCAAACAATCTTCAGCGTTGAATTAGTGTGCGATGTTTAGTTGTGTAGATGAGCAGTGTTGAGCCGTAGGATTGAAATAGTGCCTCGTCCTCAGCCATGATTCTCTTACACTCGTAACGGATCATTGTTAAACTGTTAACACTATAGTTTAAGCTCATCTGATAACTTCCACGAATTGTTTTGGATTTCTCCTCCGTAGTCCGGTACAGGATGAATTAGCAATAAGTTCGGGGTTTGAATTGAGAGTAATTCCCCTTTGTACACAGTTAAAATTACTTCTTTATTACCACCTTGAATTTGCATTGTTACCAAATGCGTCGTAAAGGGAAGTTGTACGCGAGAAACATGCGCACTAGGCAGCTTTTGGAAGCAATTTTAATACTACAAAGGAGTCAATTGCTCTATTTAGAATAGGTTTATGAAGGAAAAGCTACATGAATTAAGGTCTGGTGTAAATTTACGTGACAAACAACACAAAACTATCTATGTCATACGTTTTTTATGTGTTGAAATCAACAAAACATATACAAATATTTAACGGAACATTCTAGGCACTACATTTACATTTGGGGCAGCCATTTTTATCAATCTCGATACCGAGGTTACAGGGCGCCGTGCAACGGACGGGTGGGCACAGGGCATGATTATCTGTAGGCTCTGGCGTTAATACAGGCGCCCGAGTACTGATTGGTTCTTGTATTGGCGAATTTGTTATAGTAGGTGCCTGTGTCGGAGATTTGGTAGTGATGGACGCTCTGGGAGTCGTTTGTGTAACAACCGGCGCCTGGGTGGATGTTTTCGTAACTAGTGGCGCTGCAGTCGATGGCTGTGTTGATGTTTGATTAGTGTGACTTTCTGAAAAGGTTAAACATCAAATGGAATATATATTTCTGAATTGCATTTGTGTATAAATGTTCCATTTTTTTATATAGATATACATATATTAAACTCAAAATTTTGTGTAATACTAACAAGAATCTAATAAACCGTAGCAACAAATAAACAAAGGGAAGATGGCCATGGTGATCCAAGAAAGATTACAAGGATAATCAGTCCGTGTATGTCGGAAGCGTCTTCTGTTCAGCAGTGGCACACGATATGTAAATCTAGGTCAAATCAGAACAATGCCTTATTCCGAAATGGAGATGGAAGAAATCCCAACAAAACTATAAGACACATTTATAAGCATAAGCAAAACATAACTTTGCTTAATTATTAGGAAAATCCGAGTACTTTGTAACTTCACCAGCGGTACAGAAATAATGTGAAGACAGTATACACGTGCAATTCACTCATATAACAATAACATGAAATACAATGAAAGATCAATGCTTGAGAGGAATTGAAATTGCATGATTTTTGTGCACATTGAATACACAGTTTGAACAAAAGAAATAATTTAGGAAGTTTACACTTTTTATTTTATGTTTTATTAGTGTTTAATGACAAAGTAGTTCGTATAGCTCTACAAACATGCTCATTCTCCTGTTTTGGATTGTACGTGTTATATTCTGTTGTTAATTACTGGTTCAAATTGGTTCAAAAACTTCAATTAATGTATAAATAAATCCGACCTTGGATAAAGTATGTCTTACAAGGATACGGAGCTCTTACCGGAACTGCAGGTACATGACATACACCCACGATCGTCCATCTTGACACAATCAGCGGAACAGGTCATAGGGTCAAAAGATGGGCAACCGCCCGGATGTACATTTCCGCCGCCAGAGGGATCTGATGATGGTGATGGAGTTTTTGGTCCGATCGGTAAACCTGCAATAAGGTGTAAATTAACGATAAATTGCACAGTTTTAAGATCTCGATACCAAGTAAGATTGATGTTGTTATACTAACAATGATATATACTAATGTTAAAATGTAATAAAGAAAGTGTTATGAACCATAAATAAAAACTTACAATAAAGAATATATTTAGAAGGAACAGAATACCAAACTGTAAACAAAATTTGGTTCAAACTTAAAATCAATGATATGCGAGATTTGAGATTGATTCCACGACACCCCTCATGTAAATCAGGGCAGTGATAACAAAACAAGAACATAATGGCTACCATAAATCCTACATAAATATTAGTCAATCTACATGCGTATCTACCTAAACCCGTGTTGTATGTGTGCCCTTCGACATTCGATATCCATTACGGAAATAGTGATATTCGGAGCTGGTCACCTAATCTACTGATACACGTCAGCACCGTAGGGGATACAAGCAGGAATAGTATTACCATGCAGGTAAAAAGTTCTTGATCGGAAATTGAAATTCTCAAACATATCGTACAGCTTAATGGTAAGTCATGTTGTGTTATTAAAACTAAATTTGTCTTGTTACTTAAAGAATACATACCGTTGATATTTTTAAAAGTGAAAATATAGTAAAATATAAATAAAAAGAAAATACAAAATACTTTGACAGAACAAAATTAATACATGAGTATTTGGTACTTGATATAGAAAATAAATGCATTTATAGTGTATGGAAATTTCGAAATAAGAAATATACAAAAATACTTATAATAAAATTCAAATTTGATAATTATTTTCAAAGCCCCCGGAGTTTAATGTGAAGTGAAATAAAATTAACCAGAACATAACGGTTAATTTCGATCACTGATTTAATTCGAAAAAAACCCAGTTGTAATATGAAACGACACACACCTGTCGTACAGGTACATGACATACAGCCATGATCGTCCATCTTTACACAATCAGCGGCACATGTCATAGGGTCAAATGATGGGCAACCGCCCGGATGTACATTTACTCCGCCATTAGATGGCGTCGCTGAAGGTGCGACAGTTCCATTTCCTGTATTGTTTTTAAAGAAAAACAAATGTAGCAAAACTTAATAGTTATCAATAGCGGAATCGATTAATGTGTAGAAATAGGTTTATGTTTTGAAATCTTCATATTCGAACGCATAAAATTGCATACAAGAATGGTAACATTGAAGGGGAAAATTGTTCTTAGTTATCCTATAGATAGTACAAAATAGGAAAGAATCCTTTATCACAGAGAAAAAAGTAAGAATAAAACTGTCGCATCAACAATCAGGCAATGAAATAAACTTACCAGACCCACACTCACATGAAAAACAGCCATTATCATGAACTGTCACACATGCAGGGTCACACGTGTTGATGTTAAACGGCGCACAAATTCCTGGGACAATTTTCCCTCCGCTAGAGGGCGACTGTGTTGTTCGTCCCGGTAACGCTAAAAAATATAACATATTTTCATGCCGTAAAATCATTTGCCATTTTTACAACAAATTTGTTTATAATTGTGAAAATTAAACTTATCTTCTTACATGTTTTACTTATTAAATTATTTGATTAATTGGCAATTTATGAAACAAAAAAGAATAACTGCCATTTGGTATCCATGAAGATGAAAATTTCAATACTAGTATCTTGATGTTCTAGAAATTGTGAATGTTGGAAAAGAAGTAATGATCATCAAGTAAAATTCATTACCAAAGGAGTTTCCTGAAATTTTTGTATAGGTCGTTTTCTGCATATATATTCCTTGTAAAAGGTTTCATGTGACCTATCTTATAGAGTTATGGTTATAGAATGTTGATATATGAAAAACATATAGCAACAAAAATAGAAATTCAAGAAAAAACGAACTTTGGTCCCCTTCCATATCAATTCTACACTTAGCCTATGTTGTTAGCTAGCAACCTAAGCAACTCAAACGCTAATGTACCGTATCAAAATGAAATACTAAGTGCTTAATCACTGTGCAACCAATACTTCTTTTATCTTCTTTAATAAATAAATAAAAAATAAAAAACCAAACTGAAATAGATTTGAAACAGGCACTGTCTCTGTTGTTTAAGTGCAATTTACCACTATTTTTTTCACTATTCCATCCAACCAATGAACAACCTAAGCGTCATTCCGTAAAGCACACATTGCGGTCTTCTTTTGAAGTATATAATCATTGTGCATAATTTAAAAAATCATCATAGCTTAAATTTCAGTTAAAAAAATATTCAGTACCGGTGAAACATTTGCAGGAAAGGCAACCCATCCTGTCCATTTCAACACAAGCTGCATCACAGTCGTGTATGCCAAATGGAGGGCAGGCGCCGTTGCTTCCAGTTCCGGTTGCAGATGGCGTTACTGTCGGTCGAGCCGATGTAGCTGGTGTTTGTGTGGGCGCAACTGTTATGACTGGTGTAACAGCTGTAGCTTTCAGGAACAAATGTAAAGGCAACTTAGAAACGGGAGCTGCAATTGGCGTGTAAATTAAGAGGTTAGATCCAACCTCAAATTATGTTTTTATTAATTATAGTTTGTTAAAATATTAAAAAGTCATAAAAATATTTTATGAGTTATTTTCATATAAAAATATGTTTATTCTTACAACTTGTTCTACGTTTATATTATCAACTGTGGTAATGAATCGTTTGATGTAATGCCTCACCAGAGCACGTGCAAATGACGCAGCCATTGACGTCCAGACCTAGACAGTCGCTGTGGCAGTCGCCGACGTATAACTGTGGGCAGACGACAGGTGCCTCGGTAGTTGTCCCTAGAGAAATACAACACAAGGAGGGTATGTGCATGCTTTCTTTATAATTCTCCTGTACGAATAATCTGTATCGATAACTATTGTTCACCGCAATTTACCTTTCAATCATTTTAAAAACTGAACAGTTCTTTTAATGGCAAATTTATTATTTATCATTAAATTTATCTTTTTGCATATAATCTAAACAGCATGTGTAAAAATGTTAATAAATTAAGCTTATTCGTCATAAGTTAGGTGGTAAGTAGAATTGCATGATATTTGCTCAGAAAAAAACAGAATATTAACGATCGGTTGATAGTACAATCGCAAGGGAAAGTTTTTGTGCAGTTATACAGTTATCTATCTTCAACGCAATAGGTTTTATCCACAGTCAATCATTTTATGTCCGATTTCTAAAACTGATAAAATGTCATAGATGTTTGCTCAAAATAACGTTTGCTGCGAAACTTGAAATCACCGAATTCGGGGAAGGTTTCTTACGAAATAAATCCAAACAGGTGTATGGTTCAAATAACATAAAACACATATTCCAATGGTGTAAAAAAGGAGAAACAATATTGCCTATGCTGTTTGTTATTAAATGTGATCGTTTAACGAAACTAAAATACTCCAAGAATAAGAGAGTTTTTGACATACAAACCTGTTTCGCCCGCGCATGAACACAATACACATCCGGTCTCGGCATTGATGGTCAAACAGGATGATGGACAATTTTGTGGTATTGCCGGACAGACATTATTTGGAGAAGGACCTTGAAAAACCGAGTACAAATACAGCACCCACAACACATGATTGTTGTATGATTAAATTGGTCGTCAATTAAGTAAAATGAGAAAAGACAAATCAGAGGAAATAATGTATATTTACAACAACAAATCAGCACATTGAGTCGTTCAGGTTCCCTGTTTCCTGCGATAAGGTCTTTCTACAGAGGCGCGGACTATTGTATATCTCAAATATAAATACAAAAATAATAGTAAAAGATGAAGGAGAAGGAGAGAAAACAAAACAAACAAAACGGGGCCCTCATTCCAACACACGCTTTAATACTAAATGCAAAAATACATATGCAGATAAAATCACACCGTTTATGACATAAAGAAACATGCGCATAACTTGCACCACACTTTGCATACATTTGCATGTCAGGATGCATATGGGAAAAGCCAAAAAAAACTTATTTTGAGGGTAAGGTACGTGGTCTACCTGTGTAAGTAGTCGGAAGTCTTGTGCATCATTGTTGTCAAAACAAGAACAAATTGTTTTTTATAGAAATATCAATAATAGAAATAATAATATGTTGATGTAAGTGTCACGAATTATACCAAGGACCAATCGAAATGAATGCATTAAGTATACTATTATTTAACTGACATATCCGAGTATCTCCTTAATTTAATATACACGTACATATCAACGGTATCATAACACGTATATGCTTTACAGAAGGACTGTTTAGCTAATATCAACCATAAATACATAAAACCCTGTATAACAGGGAGGTATAGTTACCTGAACAGGAGCAAACGATACATCCAACACTATCCACCCCGATACAGGCTGGATCACAGTTCTTGTTAAATTGTGGGCAGACAACGCCTACTGCAAATCCGACTCCGGAGTTACTTCCGGTCTGACCGGAACTCGTTGTATTTGTTAACATGCCTTCCGTAAACATCCAACAGTTATATTATTCATGTCTTCCAGTAAACGACTCTTTAATTGTGAAAAAACATAGATACTTTGTGGTTGCTCAGTGTTGGTTAGAGTTAACCAGTGATCAGTAAAATCTTAAAATTTGAATTCAACGAAATCAAGAATATCTTATTTCATTCCACTGCTATTAATGTGTAAAGATAGATCAGAAACATGTGTTATATTTTAGTTTCACAAACCCTGTTCTTTAGTGGCAACTGTTTGAATTTTCCACTAATCAATGGTTATACTTAGCAAACTTTTGAGCAACCGGCGCCTAAATTTATTCGTTTGAGATAATATATACTCGATTTTGATATCTCTTTTTGTTAATAGATTTTACGAGGTAAGCATGTTGATGTGATCGAATTTAGACAGCGGTTTTATCAAAACGAAGGTTTGTTGAAAGCTTTATGCTTAAATTGTAAGATTGTGTTTTTTCTTGTCTTACCTGAACACTCACACACGATACACCCCCTGTCATCGATCTTCATACACTCGCTTTGACACGATCTGGGAAACGCTGAACAACCGTTATTGTTACCGGAAGAACCACTACTGCTTCCGCTTCCGGCGGATATTGATTGGCTGCTACTCTGGACACCTACGGAGAAAGGAAAAAAATATTGTGTTGCCGGATTATTCAAAAACTTTTCCCTTGTCATTTGTTTATATGACTAATAAAATACAACGTTAACACCCAGAAAACCATCAATTGATGTAAATCACATAATGGCAATCATTTTGATATACATCAATGTATAATGAAACATGTTTGCACATGAGAATATTGCAAACATATTAGTAGTTAAGGTTTATGTTAGACCAATATTCACCATCAAATTAAATTTTGAAGCACATTTGTTTAAATGAATATGAACGGGTATAGTATCTGGTGGTGATTCTGACAGAAAATCCATACAAAGATTCAATAAAAAAAATTAAAAAAAATGAAACCGATTTATTTGCTAAGCTATAGCAGATCTCTGGTTCTGAAAATATCTAATCCTACACTTCATTAATGATGTTATCAAGGAACTACAAATGGATAGCATGAAAAAGGACAGATGGATATCTTGGTAAATGTAGTAACTTTCAGGCATTAAAACTGTCTTGTCCCTTCGTCTTATCTAAAAGGGTAGTTCTCAATTCGAAAAAAGGGAACTATCTCTAAACTGGAACTCTTCTTCGTTATTAGACCTATTTAAATGGCATCATTTACTGAGAGTCTTGAACTTCTTATTTCCTGTATTTCTATTATTTCACTCCGATAATGTACTAATCTGTTAACGAAAGCAATCTGTTTCATACCTGAACAGTCGCATATGATACACCCTATGTCATCAATTTTTGTGCATTCGGCGTGACAGGATTTAGGGAACGGTTTGCAGCCATTGTTGTTACCGGAAGTAATTCTGCTACTTCCTTTTCCGGTGCTTGAATGTGTCAGACTTGTAGATGCTAAGGTAAAATACAAAAGTACATTTTAACCTCCGATTTCATGTATATTAGAAGTAGTAGACGTTATGTGTTTTAATAAATGATGCTGCTTATTTCACATTTTTTTTATACAAAACCATACCTAGATGATGCTTGATGCAATACAACTGAATTTTGAAGTTATTGATGTCAAAACACCCGTAAAAAAACAAATTTAACAAAACTCGATACTGAATGCGTCAAATATTGTTAAACACTGTTTTTTGTAACAAAATTTGGAAGATATAAAGTTAAAATATTTTATTTATCAAATCTGTTTTGATTCAAATTACACATAATATTTAGAATATTGTGTTATTAAAAAATTAAACTGAAAAATTCAAAAGATTCAGTTTTAATGTTGTTTGAGTTTTAACGTTTCCATCCTTCTCGTCTCTAAAGATCTGCCACTAACTACCTTTTTTTAAAAAGATATCCCCATACCCCCCCTCTTCCCTCGTGTGCTGACTAACATTCAAACATTAGCTTATAGCTTATTCTGCCCCTCTTCCCATTCCACCTTTCCCCAATATCAGACATACTGTTAGCATGTTTGGTAATGTAGATTATCACCTGTCTGACTATCTGCCTTGCTCGAAGGCTGTTGTCTTTGATTATGCCTTCTTTAGCCAATGTCTCGAATTAACCATTATCTGATATTCTATCATTTTGTCAACTTTCATCGTTTCTTTAACAAAACCGGAGCGATTCTCATTCTTGACAATTTTTTGAGATTACCACACACTATCAATTGATTTCTGCCTTCAAAATACTTACCAGCTGAGTCAGGACAAGAGCACACTGGACAGCCCTGGGGGTCTACATGTACGCACTCTGATCGACAATGTGTAGAAAGGGCGGTACAACCATTCAGGTTGGAATCCATTCTTGCTGCAGCTGCAATGAAATTCTGTGAAAGTCCATCGTCCACAGCATTCGATATAACTGCTTTACCTGCTTGTAGTAAAAACATATTTGTTAACTGAATAATTTTGACTTTTGGCGACCTAAATTACCATTTTAGAATTGATCGGAGACATTTTGTGATAAAAGAAATCGCTTAAATATTCAACACTTCAGTAGTTTAAAGTCTGATCAGCTTAACGTTAAGTTAACTCAGATTTTTGAACTTGTGTATTTTATGGCAAGCCAACTTAACATTCATTCAAGAAGCAATGTCGATCCCGAATTTCATAAAACTATATAACACATTCTATATAGTATGGGATATCTTATATAATATTTAATATCCCTTATTTACTATAAAAAAATCTTTGATAGAAATTAAATGAACCGCTATATAATCTCATTTATTGTTAAGATATCTCATTTAATTTCTGTATAAATATCTCCTATGGTTTTCTGAAAGTCGGGATCCACATTGCTCCTTAAATAATTATAAAATTGGCTTCCCATTGTATTTTCAAAATGAGCTTATAACTACGTAATACGTGTTTTAGACAGGCCAGTGTTTAGATATAGGTATCGTATAGCACAACCAGTCACAATTTGATGTGTAACGTTTCGATGACTTGTGCCTATCACCTTCATCAGTCATTTTGATTGATGAAGAAAATGTTTAGAAAATATTCGAAGCATATTACACAAAAATGACAGATGATTAGTATATCATGTGTTATAAGACTTTGAGGAGTTTAATTGTAAGTGATAGTAGCCACAGTCATGACAGTTTATAATACTATAACACAAATATCCTTAACTTTGTTATTACTACCTGTATATGTTTTTTAATGATAATAATTAAATTACCGTTTTTTTGGTGTTGAATATGTACATAAACCACATTTGTTAGTAAAAAATAGTAAGGCTCGATGTGCAATAAAATATTTCTAAACAACATTTTTATATATTTTATATAGATTATAATAAATGACATCAATATTACGTGTTGCTATTTTTATCTTGAAAGCCCGGCTTAATGTTATGTCATATGTCATGGTGTCTGATAAGAAGTAAATATCGTATAGTAAAGTTTGAAACCGAAATTCTTATTCAGTATTTAGGAATGGAATTATTAATTAACAAGTGAAACTCACCGTTTACACCCGTAGCCAGGGCCACCAACGCCAGCAGGAATACCGACATTATTCAGGTAATGTCCGTGTTTACGGCTTCACATTGGTGTGAATCTCGTCCTTATCTCTCCAGATCCTTTACTCGAAGTGGCAGATGTAAGTAGCGTCAAGGTCAAATTGTTTGAGTATCTTTGATTTTCTTATCAGCTGCAATCTGACTTTACAATTGTTCCAAAACTGAATATGTCGTCTCAAACATATGACAAGTGACCATATCGTGTGCTGCAGTTCTTGTTAAACGATCAGTTGTAAGTGAAGCTCCTGCAACCATAACAGGTTTTACAACAAGTTTAGACTTTATTTTTGAATATCAGAAAAAACTATAAATTCACGAAAACGTCTTGATGAAATCAAGAAACAAAACACAATTATCGGCTTTCTTTTCTATTGAAAGTTATGTATCCATTTTTTTCAGATTCAAATGGCGTTTAGTCCGAAGCTTATACTTTTTCCCAGTCAGTAAATTCACTTCAGGATAACTTTTGCGTCTTTTTCTATTGTATATGATTTAAAGATAAGAATGGCAGGTGTGATGTGGGCGGGCCCTTTGAAGTTCAAGTGCCTACCTGTGATAAGGTCAGACACACTAAATCGGTCACGATCTGCCATACCGTTAACGGAACGTGAGGTTGCAAATATATAATTTTTACTATAATAATTCGAGGTTATTATAAACCGCTTCGTCACAACCTAGGTTGAAGGTCGTCTCTCAGCGGTTCACAAATTAGTATCCTTGGTTATAGGCCTTTGCAACCAGCCAATACATTTCTTAACTCCCTGGGGAGCATACAGCCGATGCTTCCATTTCGGCGCTCAGCTAGCATTCAACAATTCGAGCGCTGTCCAACCACGTACTCATTCACAGCTGAGTTAGTATAAACCATATTTTTTTCGTAAATTTGCAATTAAAATATACTGACCACTTAATAATTACATACATGAAATAGGATCCAGAACCGAGTTATTAAACTTATATCAATCTGTTTCCTTAGCAGAAATAATAATGGATAACAGAGACTTGAAGTAGAAGAAAGAGGAGTAGAAATAGGAAGAGAAGCAAGAATAGCATTTGTCAATGTACAAAACGTTAACCTATGTAAATGTCACTGATGTCATAACGGATATATAACAGTGGAAAATATATGCTGTGTACTACTACAAAGATGCTACAAAAAAAAAACAATAGCATATGGCACAACTAACATAAGAAAATCTCCACACGCACGCACTACCACACACCCACTCAAACACGCTCACACAATACCGAGGTTTATATGAGTGAATAATTGGGTTTATGAATTAAATAGGTAAAAAACGTTTTGATTTAATAATAAAAATTTGTTCACAGTTAAATAAATATCTATTTCGGGCAGGTGAAAGATTGTTGTCATCAAACAGGAAGGTTTCTACTGAGGTATAATTTTGTATTGGCCTGAAACATATTTGTCTAATGTGTTCATAGTTCCGACAAGATAATAGATAATGATCGTTTGTTTCGTTTGCCTCACGGCAGGAACAGAGTGGACTTCCTATTAGATTTTTATGAAAAAGATGGCCGTTTAGTGAAATTCATTTCATTCTGAGCCTAGCATGGTATATTTGGCCTATTCTAATACCGCAGAAGTTATATGATTCTTTTTACGGATGCGTCATTCCAAGGATTGACAGAAGCAGATAGGAAAGATTTTTGAAATAAGTTTGTTCTACAACGTACAGGTCTAAATTTATTTGCGTCTCTAGTGTTATGTTGGTGGATGTGCGAATGTCGTTCTGTGAGAATGTTTCTAAGATATTGTGGGGTAATGTTGTGTACTATTTTGTGGAATTGTATCATTTTGTGGTGTTTCCGCCTACTAGAAAGTGTTTACCATCCTGTTTCATTTAAAGGTTTGCATGACTAGTGAGCTTGGTGCCTTCCGTAATGATGCGTGCAGCTTCAAGTTGTATATTTTCTATCTTTTGTGATTGTAGGTTGGTCAAATTGTCCCAAACAATATCTCCATACTCTAATATCGGTCTTATAAAGGTAAAATGCATACGTTATAATGTTTGGCGATCGACAGTATACTTTCATTTCCTGAGTAAATTCAATTTAGCAGATGCACTTTTAACAATATATTCAATATGGCATTGCTGAGTTGACTGGAACAAGCAGAGTAAAGTCTCTTTCTCAAAGACAAACACAGTGCCGTGCTGTGACTCGAACCTGCAACCATTCGATCATGAACCAGGTGTCCTACCACTAGACTACCATGCCTCCATTTATACAATAAGCTTCTATTTATAGATTACGTTTTTCAATGCAGAAGGTCAAACAAAGTAACTACGTTACAGCACCATATGACAATTCCGTCCATTTTAAACCTCATCAGTGTAACTACAGGTCCAAGAAATGAAATTCAAATTCTAAAGTGTTATGAGGTCTAAAGTATATAGAAATACAACAAAAGAAATACGTGTACCAATAAAACACTTTTACATTTTATTTTTTTCGGTTACTAGGGTGATAACTTTTTCTTGTAAACCATGGCAGTTTTACAAGTGTCCAGCTACAAACTTAGAGCAAATATCGGAGACTGCATGATACTTCACCAGCAGAGTAAACAAATGTAAACATTTTACTGCGCAATACGACCATTATGTCGATTCAATAAATATGTTATATAAAATACTCGTTATTTAACATCTTGCACATTCAGAAACATATAGAAATTCTGGACAGCCTTTAATACGACATCGTTAAGGAAACAAATGCTGTTTTGTTGAATGAGTAAAAACCCTTCTTAGGGATATCAACCTACACAATCAAGCGTTACTCCCTTTTCCCGTTACCGTTGGAGGCCGAACTGTAAAAAAAAAGCAGCACCGTAACCAATTTAAAAGAGTACAGAAAGAACAGTATACCTGCCTGACTGATACTGTAATTTAAATCAATCCTTAACGGTCCTCTTTAACAATCGTTTAAGTATGTAAGTATTTTTTAACAATTAGGACAAATAAAAGACGGAGTTAATATTGCAAGCATATATTTGGAGCTCTGTGTGAATACAAACATAAGTCCAGTTCCTTGTGTAAGTTAGCCAAGACATTTCCCAGATGTATCAATGAAATAGTCATTATTTGATTGAAATAATCTATAATTTGAATAAATAACATAGCTTACTAAGTAAAACTGTTTAGAAACATATCTTTTTATTTCCTAAGAACATGTAAGTAACATGTAAGTAAGACATGTGTTTACTCCATTGAGAACATTGTTTATGATCAGGGGCGGATACAGGTTTTTTTCAGGCGGGTGTCACCATTCCAGATTTAAAGTTTATTTTGTGACAGGTGTGGTCTGAACCATATCACTTCGCACAGTATCAAGGTATATAGCTGTCTTTGTCTTGTTCTTTTCCATGGGTCTCTGTTTAAATCGTTCCTAAATTCTTTTTTGCTCTATATTTGTAGTAAAATGCCCCAGTGTTATGAATCGTCAATTTGTTATAATGATCTTTTTTTTTCTCTAGAAAAAGAAGTTCCTAGTTTGGTTTCTAGTAAATAGATATACAACTTAACTACCTGCTAGTCTTTCATGCAGGAAACAAGCTCTCGGAATCAAACACAAATTTCCAATATGGCATTTGCTATGATAAACACGTTTTTAAACAACAACACATGCAAAGCCTTTGTAAAGGTGAAGTACTAAAACAATCCTGTTAGATAAACACAAATAAACATGCAATGTACATATTTGAACAAAAAAGATATAATACATACACTTTATTGCATTACAGGCCAGGTATATCAAATATCGACTATTGCGATTACAAATTGCATGTAAACAAACAGAACATCACAAACTTGCACTGTATAATCTCAAAACGATGAATTAGTGTATTTAAACTTTTGAAACTAAATTTCAGTACAATAAAAACAACATTTTAAAAATATATGGCAAAGAAAGTTTGCGATGATACAGGTTTCCGTTCTATGTGTTCCTCTTCACCTACGGTAATAAGATTTTGTTATATGATTTTCATTTATAAATCAAATAGATCATTAATTTGTAACGTTAATAACGTAACTTCTTAAGATAATTATTAACTTCCATAACCATGCAATGCAATGACTAGGGACCCTAGTCATTGACTTGGTCGATAGCAGAATAGAGATAACCATGTACCCTCCATGTATGTATTCAAGTAATTAATATAAGTAATTACCATCGTCAAAAATAACAGTCTTTATAAAAACAAATATTGGATCTCAAGCTTATCCCTTGCAAACACCCGAAGTGACGTCGCACAAAGCAGACAATACCCTGTTTATTGTTACACAGCAATACACTTGTTACTTTTCGGAAAAAAGGAACATTCTTTTCGCACAAAATAACCAGAACAGAAAACAAAACAAAGAAACTCTGCAGTTTGTGTAGCCAAAGCTTATAGCTTAATTTATCAAAAGCTTACGATATCTCCTCAGCTGGCATGAACTTATGTTAACATGTGTCAACAAAGGCTTGACCATAAAAATATGTCCTATGAATATAAAACCAGCACTCATAGACGTGAGGGAAGGTTCCGGATGATCTTCTCAGCACATCACATCAGTAGTATCGTAAATGCATGTCTTTGACAGGAGGTGCGGACGGTTGTGGATGGACACTATCTCTCTGGAGACTCGGATAAACATTGGAAACATCCGGGGACTTGTAGCTGAACCCATCGTACTCCTGTCCGTATCCCTGGAAGGGACTTTTCTGGGAACTTTGGATATTTCCCTGTTGAGCATTGTTTGTACCGTTAATTTGCCCCGATAATTCGTGAAATGGACTTTGGTGGCTGAAATTATCTGTATGGTTGGGACGGTTTCCAGGAACGATATTTGGCTGTCTCGTCATGTCGCCTGAGTGATTTCTGCTTTTATCTTTAGACCTAGGAATAAAGAAATATATTAAAATCTGATACAAATTGAGAGAAAGAAAACAGAAAGAATAACCCAAACCAGAACAAAACGAATATCGGTGTGTTTATACGTTTGGTACGAATGAATTTGTATAATACTTAAAACGATTCATCACGAAAAACGTCTATGAAATGATTATAGGATGCAAACAAAAGTTGCCCAATCCCTTTGACAATGTAACATCCTTGCCATTTTTTTTTAATTTTTTTTTGAAATGGAACAAAAGTACTCCATCAGGCCCAGAATATTACTAAACATTATTACTATGTATTATTGCGTGTAACATATATTTATGCATAAGTTTCAGAGATGAATTCATGTACTTTGCGAATAAATTTCAACGATAACAAGAGACACACACTTTGTAGGCGGTATTGTCGTCGAGGACAATAAGTATAGAAATGTAAGGTCAGGAAATAACTTTTACACGAGATACAAATTATATGTACATTTTACTTCAGTATCCAATGTAGCGTTTAAATACAGTATATGTTAAACTTTTATTTAAAGTGTAAAAAAAAACATTATAACTTTAGTATGCAATGTTACATTTATGTACAGTATATATAATTTTTTATTTACAGTGTAAAATTTTAACTACAATATGCAGTGTAACATTTAATATTGTATACACAATATTTCTATGTACAGTATACTAGACCCGTTTACAAAGTATACAATACCTTTTAGACTTTGCCCTAATGAGCATCGTCCCAAGCACAAGTACCACAATAACAGCCAGCGCTCCTGTCCCTATGACCGCGATTAGGGCAATCTTAGACCAGTCAACTGGAATAGAAAACAGAGAAATTAGACATCAGTAATACATGTTCAATCACCGATAGTAAACGATGTACCCCAACGCCGCACAAATCAAATTTATGACAATCATCGGCAGTAAACGATGTACCCAAATGCCGCACAAATCAAATAAATGACAATCACCGGCAGTAAATGATGTACCCCAATGCCGCACAAATCAAATGTATTACAATCACCGGCAGTAAACAATGTACCCCAATGCCGCACAAATCAAATGTATTACAATCATCGGAGGTAAACGATGTACCTCAATGGCGCACAAATTAAATTAATGACAATCATCGGCAGCAAACGATGTACCTCAATGGCGCACAAATTAAATAATAATCATTGGCAGTAAACGATGTACCTTAATGGCGCACAAATTAAATTTATGACAATCATCGGCAGTAAACGATGTACCTCAATGGCGCACAAATTAAATTAATGATAATCATTGGCAGTAAACGATGTACCTCAATGGCGCACAAATTAAATTAATGACAATCATTGGCAGTAAACGATGTACCTCAATGGCGCACAAATTAAAATAATGACAATCATCGGCAGCAAACGATGTACCTCAATGGCGCACAAATTAAATTAATGACAATCATTGGCAGTAAACGATGTACCCCAATGGCGCACAGATCAAATGACAATCATTGACAGAAAACGATATACCTTAAGACTGTATATGTTTAAAAAAGACCGACAATCCTCTGTAATAAACTGCCAGAAAACTACCGCTGATCTGGTAGTTTCGTAATTGAACTTTACAGCGATCATATAGTAACCGAATATTAAGGGGTTGGAATACAGTTCTGTCGCATTCCTACTCACAAATTATTGTGTGTGTTTGTTTTTTTTTTTTATCTTTGATATGCTTTTCGTTGTCGTAAAAGTTCCCCAAAGTATGGGTTTTCTTTTTGAAAATGAAAAAAAAATATTCATGGAAGAGATTTACATGCAAGTTAGAATTCCAATTTATAATTGTTTTTTGAAGTAGTTCAGGAATCGTTAATACGCCATTTTTTCTGTAAAAACAATGACGAGATGTAAGCATGAGTGTAAGAAGCTTACCTTCTGCGTTTGTTGATGTTGTCGAATCTGGTATCAACGTCGATGTCACTACATTTCTAACTCTTGTTGTTGATTTGGTCGATGAGGTTTTCTTAGGTATAGTAGAGGTAGTTGGTTTAATGTTTGGTTTAGTGGTTGCTCCTCTAGTGGTGGTTGTAGTTGTTAAAGTTTTTGTAGTTCGGGAAGTAGCTTTACTTGGTGAAGGGGCTGCAGTTGGTGTAGTAGTTTTACTTTGTGGAGTGGTTGTAGTTGGGGTAGTAGCTTTACTTTGTGAAGTGGTTGTAGTTGGGGTAGTAGTTTTACTTGTCGAAGTTATTTTAGTTGTTGTAGTGGTTTTAGGGGATGAGATAATTTTAGTTGATGGAGTAGTTTCACTTGATGAAGTGGTATCAGCTAATAGAGTGGTTGTAGTTTGTGGAGTGGTGGTAGTTGATAAAGTGGTTGGAGATGGTGTGGTTATTTTAGTTGGTGGAGTGGTTTTACTTGATGAAATGGTTGAAATTGGTGGAGTGGTTATAGGTGGTTTAGTGGTTGTAATTAGTGGAGTGGTTAGAGTTGGCGGAATGACTGTTGTTGGCGGAGAGGCTGTAGTACGTGGAGTGGCTGTAGTTTGTGCAGTGGCTGTAGTTGGCGGAGTGGCTGTAGTTTGTATAGTGGCTGTAGTTGGTGGAGTGGCTGTAGTTGGTGGAGTGACTGTAGTTGGTGGAGTGGCTGTAATTGGTGGAGTGGCTGTAGTTGGTGGAGTGGCTGTAGTTGGTGGAGTGGCTGTAGTTTGTGGAGAGGCTGTAGTTTGTGGGGGGGCTGTAGTTGGTGGGGTGGCTGTAGATTGTGGAGTGGCTGTAGATGGTGGAGTGGCTGTAGTGGGTGGAGTGACTGTAGTTTGTTGAGTGACTGTAGTTGGTGGAGTGTCTGTAGTTGGTGGTGTGGCTGTTGTTGGTGGAGTGGCCGTAGTTGGTGGAGTTGCTGTGGTTGTTGGAGTGGCTGTAATTGGAAAAAAAAAAAAAAAAAGTGGCTGTAGTTGGTGGCGTGGCTGTAATTGGTGACGTGGCTGTAGTTGGAGGGGTGGCTGGAGGTTGTGGGGTGGCTGGAGTTTGTGGGGTGGCTGTAGATTGTGGGGTGGCTGTAGATTGTGGGGGGGCTGGAGTTGGGGGAGGGGCTGTAGTTGGTGGGGTTGCTGTGGTTGGTGGAGTGGCTGGAGTTGGGTGAGTGGCTGTAGTTTGTGGGGTGGCTGTAGTTGGGGGAATGGCTGTAGATTGTGGAGTGGCTGTAGTTTGTGGAGTGGCTGTAGATTGTGTAGTGACTGTAGTTTGTTGAGTGGCTGTAGTTGGTGGAATGGCTGTAGATTGTGGAGTGTAGTTGGGGGAAGGAGTGGCTGTAGATTGTGTAGTGACTGTAGTTTGTTGAGTGGCTGTAGTTGGTGGAGTGGCTGTAGATTGTGGAGTGGCTGTAGTTTGTGGAATGGATGTAGTTTGTGGAATGGCTGTAGTTGATGGAGTGGCTGTAGTTGGTGGAGTGGCTGTAATTGGAGGAGTGGCTGTAGTTTGTGGATTGGCTGTAGTTGGATGAGTGGCTGTAGTTGGTGGAGTGGCTGTAGTTTGTGGAGTGGCTGTAGATTGTGGAGTGGCTGTAGTTTGTGGAATGGATGTAGTTTGTGGAGTGGCTGTAGTTGGTGGAGTGGCTGTAGTTGGGGGAGTGGCTGTAGTTGGTGGAGTGGTTGTAGTTGGCGGAGTGGCTGTAGTTGGAGGAGTGGCTGTAGTTTGTGGAGTGGCTGTAGTTGTTGGAGTGGCTGTAGTTTGTGGAGTGGCTGTAGATTGTGTAGTGACTGTAGTTTGTTGAGTGGCTGTAGTTGGTGGAATGGCTGTAGATTGTGGAGTGGCTGTAGTTTGTGGAATGGCTGTAGATTGTGTAGTGACTGTAGTTTGTGGAGTGGCTGTAGTTGGTGGAGTGGTTGTAGTTGGCGGAGTGGCTGTAGTTGGAGGAGTGGCTGTAGTTTGTGGAGTGGCTGTAGTTGTTGGAGTGGCTGTAGTTGGTGGAGTGGCTGTAGATTGTGGAGTGGCTGTAGTTTGTGGAATGGATGTAGTTTGTGGAATGGCTGTAGTTGATGGACTGGCTGTAGTTGGTGGAGTGGCTGTAATTGGAGGAGTGGCTGGAGTTTGTGGATTGGCTGTAGTTGGATGAGTGGCTATAGTTGGTGGAGTGGCTGTAGTTTGTGGAGTGGCTGTAGTTGTTGGAGTGGCTGTAGTTTGTGGAGTGGCTGTAGATTGTGTAGTGACTGTAGTTTGTTGAGTGGCTGTAGTTGGTGGAATGGCTGTAGATTGTGGAGTGGCTGTAGTTTGTGGAATGGATGTAGTTTGTGGAGTGGCTGTAGTTGGTGGAGTGTCTGTAGTTGGTGGGGTGGCTGTTGTTGGTGGAGTGGCTGTAGATTGTGGAGTGGCTGTAGTTGGTGGAGTGGCTGTAGTTGGTGGAGTGGTTGTAGTTGGTGGAGTAGTTTTAGTTGGTGGAGTAGTTGTAGTTGATGTATTTGGTGTAACTGGAGTTGTAGTTGTAATGGGTCTATCGGTCGTAGTCTGAGATGTAGTTGGTAAAGTGTTCGTATTTGGTAAGTCTGTTGAAGTGAGTGAAGTGGTTTTAACTGATGTAGAGGTTGGAGTTGATGTAGTAGTAAGGGACTGGGAGTTAGTTGAAATTGTCTGTTTGGTTGTGGTCGGTTTAGATGTTGTAGTTGAAGCGTCGTCAGTATTAGTTGAAATAGTATTAGGTATAGCGGTAGTAATTGTCGATGTTTGAATAGTTGTGGGTGACGTCATTTGACGATGTGTTGTGGAAGTAACCGTTGTTGAACTTGAGCTGACCGTAGTCTGGCAGGTGCTCTGTAACAATTAGAACCTCAGATAGATACTTAAGTATATTGATTGTAACATATACCGTAATTCATATCAATAACGTAATATGTTTTAATTACATTCGTCAATACTTTTACCATAATATTTTAATGTGGAAATGCAAATTATAGTCTTCAGCAAATTAAAAAAATAAGTAGCAACCATAATTATATGTATAATCTGTTTCGTCTATAAACATTGTATATAACACCATTCCCGTAGGAAAAAGGTTTGTCTTAGCATACTCTCAGCATGGCTAACATAACAGAAATGGTTCTGTCCGTTTAATTTACTGACGCTTGTATTACGTTGACTTTCGTTGTTTTTATGACACAAGTTTTGTTAAATAGCTTTCTTAATCATGTAAAAAAAATATCTAGTTGGAAGTTACTTCAATTTCATTTGCCTTCATGAAACTCACTACAAATAAATTCATGAAATGATATGGAATGAATGCAAGTTTATTGTAAGGTACTCTCCATAAAGTCAATAAGATTATCGGAGAAGCAACGGAAATCATAATGTTTAAGAATTGTCAGGTAACGTACCTGCTCTGCGCACGTGATGGCAGTCGTGTTGCACGTGTAGCATGTCGAGTTGTACCTTATGACGACAACATCGTCACTAAATGTCACCCCATCGTTGGAAACACTGAGAAAAAACCCGTCAGCAAGGACAACGTCGGGGTCAACAGATCGTTTTCTTCTCAGTGACTCTGGCACAGTACACGAACAACCAATACCTCCAGCGAGCGAATCGGCGGGAAAAGTCTCGTTCTTGGAATCCAACGTATAGCCGGCAGCCGCAGTGATCTGATATGAATGTGTTTATTTGTTAAGATAAATATAAGGCAATCTTCTAGGTAAAATGGGCAATACCGAAGTGCCAGCAATTCAGTAACCCAAACTGAAGAACGATTATCTTAGGACAGAATATACAAAATTAAACCGAGACTTTTAAAAAGTACAAAGATAATTAGACCACGTGTTCTAGAAGGAAAGATGTTAGTATAGCAAAATGCAAATAATATGTCATTATCTTTCCCGCATACAATGAATTATCTCGTGTATCAACAAACCCTTAGTTCGAACTCAAAATCGATAAAACTAGGACAGAATATGAACATAAGAATGATTTACATGGTGGACCAATACCTCCACGAGTGTTGGTAATATGACAAGGTTTAAAACATTTATCTCTGAATAGATGTCGTTGTCATTGGTAATACTGCAGAACGATAAACACGAACCGACTTACAGAGAAATGGACAGCTTTACATGTGACGTTCGTCCTGGCAAAGTTCTCTCCAGAGATGTAAAATGTGCTGCAAGGATACTTGTCGGTGGCACAAAGTCCGGGATTTGTCTCTGCCGACACAACAGGGGGCATGGTCCGTTCTAAGGAACAGTCATGACCTTCGAACCCTCCAGTACAGACACAGGAGCCTATAGGAACACATTTAAAACAAAGAGTACCATACATCAGAGGGATACTAAAACACCGACATTGTTCATCTATTCTATGGAAGAATATTTATTAAAATCTCTCTAGAGTGGGTTATTATTAACTTAGACGGAGAGTAAAATAGTGAATACCGTGAAATGTTCGTACACCGTGAAATGTTCGCCGCAGTTTAACTTTCGCTTTTTGTCACCCTCGCCAATGAGGGCGACGTTATCATGAAAGCGCATATTAGTACACAAAATACAATGTATACTAAGCACACGTGAAGGGCGAAATCAACATTCGGCGAACATTTACTTAATCGGAAAAGGGCGAATATTTGATTGGGCGAGATTTTTCCAGATGTACAATGTTTAAATTCATAAAACTTCGAAAACATGCAGGATGAAATATGATCTCATGATCGCATAACGAACAATCACATGAACCGCTGAAAAATGAATCATCATGAAATACAATGCATTGGATCCCGAAACACCAAAATAGGTGTCCCGTAAGAGTAGGTAACTCCCACACCGCTTGTGGCACCGATTGATTATGAGTTTAATCGAATAGTTCTATTGATCTTGGTTACTCCAGACTTCGAAGGTCTAGCTAAACTGAGTTTGAGACTGTGAACTTTGCTACAGAGTGACAGCTAGTCCATCCAGCTATTATTCAGAGTGTTAAATAAATGATCCTGATCAACACTTTTAGGGATTGTCAAGTTGTGAAAATAAAACCTAGTAGTGCATGGCCTAAAAGCTGTATCATCTCTGTTTACCGGGAAACTTTCGCCCAGTCCAATTTTCGCTCTTTGCCGATAACATTCATGTACGCCCAGTGCTAATATTACGTGTAATCATAAATTCCATGTGTTCAAAGATTCGTTGTCATAATAAATACGCCCTTATTTGGGAGTGCAAAAAAGGCGAACGTTAATTGCGTCAGACATTTCCTTGTCTACAGTATTCCGTCTTTGCGTATTGCAGAGTTATCTTCTCTTGGGAGCAGGTATTGATTGTTTCGTCACTTGTTTGTGCGAGTAACGTCATCAATTTTTGAGAAAACGACGTAATTTTCTCGCACAATTCACCAGGCACAAACTTGTTATTACAGAAATCTGAAATCGAATTGAACCATTTTAATAGTTTGTAGATATGGTTTTAACTTTGAATGTCATTACCATTAAAACAATCCCCATGTCCCGAACAATTGTTTGGGCAGTCGAGTTCTAGCATCTCATCAAGTATGGATTTGCCCGGCGTTCCGTCTGATGAGTCTGTCTTTGTGAGATTTTCAAGTTTCACAGCTATGAGACGACAGCTTGTTGCTAGGGATGCCACAGTTGTTTCCATGTATCTGGTATCTCCAATCAGCTTAACAACCAAATATGCCATATACATTAAGGTTTATAATTGTAATTGCTTATTTGTGAAAGACATTTATTCTCTCATGGTCATAATGTCACGGTAATACGAAGAACTCACGAATTATCATAAATAGCGAATATTGAAAATTAAATAACACAATGATAAAACATTTGAGTGTTTTATAAGCATGCATGAGTCTTTATTCAGTAATCAGCTAAATTTGTAATTTATTTGAAATTTTTAATGTGCCTGAGAGATGACTTGTTTTAATAATGCAGATACATGTCAAGGTCGATTAGATACATCTCATACTGAAAGATATGGGTGGTAAGCTATTTTCTGGACTGCGAAATTAGAGATTGATAAATCATGAAAAGCATCAGAGAAACTTAAGCTTATTCCAGCTCAATTAATATACAATGACAACGATTTTAGTGTGTCCTGCTTTTTAACTAAAACCGTTATGTTTTATGGCAATGGAAGAATCTAAGAGGGTAGAACATGCTGTGATTTTGCCTGTCTTTCCTATTTCCCCATACGGCTATCTTAACCACGGATTCCATGTCTTACATACCCGTATGTCCTCCATGCATGACGTCACACCGGCGTCATTCCCGCTAGCAGTGAATGGCAATACTTCCGCACACTTCTGTAAGAACTTACTAGCGGTAAGGTAGGCGATACAGGCAACTCTTGCTATTATTACGTTCCACCCATTTCTCCAGGAGAGAGACTTCAAAGAAAAATGATATTTTGCATGAAAATTTAATTTCAAGCCAATCCATGTTAATATTTCAGAAAAATTAAATAAATGTGTATTGTTGAGATTACTTTTTTAGTGCTAATGTTTGCAAATATGAGGAATGCTTAATCTCGCTGAAAGATCCGTATTCAACAAAAAAACTTAGGGAAAAGCTGATACTTTTAAAATGTTAGCCAGTCCAATCGCAATGGTTTCTAAGCTTTGAAAATCCTTATCCTACGCCCTTGGGCATGAAACGGTCTTAAGTTTGACACTGAAAACAATCAATTATATTTATATCACTAAATACCTGAGGTTCGTCATCAATGTCGCTCCCAAAAATAATTGGAAATTTAGGGATGACATCGATGGCCGGTGATGCTCTCCTGTACCGCTCAAGGGAACTCGATCTTTTTTGTCTGGTTGAGTCGCAAGTTTGGAAAAATCCGTCCGTACTTTGGGTGACGCATGGATTTGACTCCGTGTTGACACTACATGTCACATTTTTGGTGAAAGCCGAGTCCTCACTACACTTACAGAACCGGGGCAAAGTCAATCCGGCGTCTGTTAGGTCAATGTTCTCCCTAAAAAGGGACTGATCGACAGTCTTTATCCTACAAAAAACATATATTAATTAATACATATTAATAATGTAATAATAAATTACATATATAACGTTGAACCTGAATTCATGATAAGAAATAAACACATTTTTGAAGTGTTGGAACTTATCATCGCTCGATTTTGAGTTTTGTTTTTGAGTTTTGTAAGGATAATGTTGGAAATTGTAGATTAACAATTGTCATGTTTTAAATATGCTATATATACAAGACTTCGAAACTGTAGCCGTTAGACGTACAGTGTTATACATACTTCCAAACCAAATACGGCTATTGGATTTGATGCATATGTATGCTGTACTACCACCTACTGTCTACTGCAGAAATATTTAACATAAATAGAATTTCGATATCTATATAATATGTGTGTGTTTGTTTAAAATTGTACTAAATAAAACTACCAAATATGTCTGGTTCCTTCGAAATTGACAATTTCACGTTAACTGTGTGTGTGAATTTCTGTGTAATTTTANCCCCGGTCCCCCCGGCCCCCCACAAATGTATGTATTTATTGGAATAAATGATATAAGCAGAAAACATGTTTACTTTGCAGACTATGCTCATATATATATATATATGAACGATATAAGTTGTATTCAGAATGATTTTATTTCTGATATATGTCTATAACAAAGAACATTCACTGACAAACTTCATCTATTCAAACAACAATTTTATCAGTACACGACCAGTTTTTACATAATGATGTTAATAATACTGTTTGCATCAAACGCAAGCAAGATATGTTATAATAACGTAATCCATAAACGAAACTGATTTGTTGCCATCAATTTTTCACCATAATAGTAAGCTGTGTACAGTTTTGTGAATAATCGTTTAAATCTAACTATTTGAATAACGCTCTTTCGTAACAAAATACTTCACTAACTTCCAGTCCAGTGCGAATTCCCTTATATCCGCCGTCTCCTTCCCGCTCTGCAGTTTGAACTCTTTGTCATAGGTCCCGTCCATATAACCACACAGTCCGGATGAGCTTTTCCAGTCAGCAAGAGATGGCTTGACTATGATGGAGCCTATTCCATAGCGATAGTAGTAATTAAATGTTATCTTAGTTCCAGTGGGTAGTGTAACCTGTAACAATCGAAATTACATCTCAACACATGAATGAGATGAACGTTTGTCGTATATACATTGATATATTTAGGTAACAGGAGAGAATTGCACGGCAAGACCGGGGTTCGAACCCGGAACTCTCGAAACTTTAGACGGACGCTCTAACCAACAGAGTTAACCAGTTACAGGCGATCGACCCAGTACATTTCCGTAACATTCCTCCATTCTTCAACGAAGCCGTCGTCCCAAAGACACACGAGACCCTATACCAACTTCCGTGTGTATATCTCGCTGGGTACCAAATGTAACAGAAAAGGCGAAATACACTGCCACACCGGGATTCGACCCAGGGATTCTCTGAACTTTTGCCGGGCGCTCTAACCAAATGAACTACCGTGTGGCCGGCGATCGACCCTGCCAAGTTCCGCTATATATTATTACATTGTTACACTAATGAAAAGGACGGCTTCGGCTATATTTTATCTATCCTCATTCTATCCTATTTAAGATTGGTTCACGATGATTTTCTGTAATCTGAAGCATTATTGTCATACACAATTGATTACTATTTCCACATTGAAAAAGAATAAAATAAGACAATATACTTTATAACTAATTTCGGACTGCACGTAACAAAACGAAAAGAGATATAAAAGAGTAAGGTTTATTTAGGCATTGTCATCATGACTATCAATCGGAATATGACAAAAATTCCATAAACCTCATTTGTAGAGCTGCTGCTGCCTCTGCAACCGCCTCCAGCATCATCAACAGTTGTGCCGTTAACACTACTATTACCAGTTCCTCTGCCACCACCACTATACTCACCTCTGATACTTAAACTATTTAATTACCGTATAAGTGTTTCCGTTTTCTTGAATTGTCATAGATGTGTCGTCACAGAACGACTTCTCTATGTATCTGTTGGAGTTTGTTACCCCGCTAACACTCCATCCAATTTTCTCTCTACAAAAGTTGGCTACAAAAAGTGCGTCGTTGTTTCGAATTGCTACTCCACAGTTGCACGTGACTCCGTTCGGAACGTGAGCGCTGCAAGGCTGGTAGACTGCGTGAACCTGAAAACGAATGCTAAGGAATAATATCTGACTGATCTTGTGTACGGGTGAAAGCAGTAACATCAATGGTAACTTCTCACATAACACTGGAAATGTATGTTTATAGTATACAAATAACTTAGAATTAGAATGATTTTATGGGGCAAGGAAGCATTTCTAACATTTTAGATAATAGGATGTTGTCAAATTTCTGGAGCAATCCGCTCCTTTATAGAGACACAGAAAAAAACACAAAAAAACCCAACTACATTATATATAAAGAAATATAATAGGATATAGCTTATATTTGAAAACAATAAGCCCCTCGACTAGCGTAAACCGAAGGCAGAATTTCAATGACCGCATCGTTGACCAATGATGACTTATCATACGTATCCATCTTTGCGTATTGCAAAATTATCTTCTCTTGTGAGCAGGTACTGATTGTTACGTCATTGGTTTGTGTGAGAAAATTACGTGGTTATCTCAAAAATTGATGATGTTACTCTCACAAACAAATGACGTAACAATCCATACCTGCTAACAGGAGCAGATAACTCTGCAATACGAAAAGACGGAGGAATCAAAATACACAGACAGCATTTGTTTTATACAGCATACACTATAATATTTATTTCATGTAGTGTACATGGAACAAACAACATCCGTTGGTTTTTAGAAATAGGACCGGCAAGGGAAGAGTGCAGTCGTTTACTTAAAATATAACGCTATATCCCAACAACTGTTTTTATAAAACTCATATTTATAAAGAAACGGATATTGCTAAGCTAGAAATGTTCCGTTGATCCGCTTTTCCCGATGTTGAAATATCTTTATTGGCAAAGGACGAATATTTGTCCGGTATACAGTATATCTACAAATGTATTTTACGTATACGAAGGGATCGTGTAACCAACGAAATCAAAACTCTCTGAATTAACAGCATTACTTAATTAACAATAATTGATTAAATAGCATATTATATTGTCTCTAACGATGTAATGTAAGTGTCTACGTGTAAAATCAACAAAAAGCATGTATATGTTCTTATAGTGCTAGAATACAAAAAAGCAAATTTTATTATTTTTTAATTAGTCTCACCCAATATGGTTTTTCATTGTGTTTATACAACACGAATTCTCCAATTCTTTGGTTTTCCCAGGACCTGCAAAAAATAAAAGCTTTTATAGATTATACTCGAAACCGCAGCCATAGGAGATGTTAATATCATTTATCTTAACAAATGAAATGTCTTTTTGATTATATGAACGTTTAAAGACATGATGTTACATAAAACGTTGTGGAATTAACAAAGAAATCAATGTATTCAATATATTTTGTTTGCTTTGATAAATCAGCAAAAGAAATTAAAAAGCGAATAAAAAAGTTTGGAAATTAGATTGTCCAAAAGTTTTAACGAAATACAAATATCTTGACTTTATGGTGAAGCCCTTTATAACTTCTGCTTAAACCATCATATTGCATTCGTTTTCATCCATTCAAGCGAATTACAACTAAAACCGAAATTGACATTTTACCGTACGCTCTAATAAAATGTACCTTCCGTCAAATGTTCTCATATGTGGGTCGTTCCTACTGTAACATTCACCGGATAGAACGGTTTTATCCAAGTCTTCAACAGTGACCTAGAAAATAAATGGCGAACAACAACTTACAAGTAAGTACACAAACAAATATGAAGGCATGCGATTCATAAGTAAAGCTATGCTTATAATTACATCATAAGCTATTCCGTTCGGTAAATGCATAGATATATGGTGGCCTCGAGGTCTGGAACGTTCGATAAACAGTATGTATTTGTAGTTTGAATCCATTCCGTTGGTAGGCGGTGTAAGGGTTAACATTTGGCGAGTCTTTATACATGTGTCTTAAAATAGTTTTTATACTTTGTCTGCGTCTCAATTGGTTTTTATCTTTTTATGTGAAATGTGATACAAATGACAGAAGTTTAGGAAAGATACCTTCTAGAAATCGCCCCTGTTATTTAATAAAAATGAAATATAATAAATCTAATTACAAATTCAATATTTGTTTTTGGTTTTGTATGTATCCTGAATAAAACGAACTTATTGGAATAATTTGCAACAATCGTGGTCATTTCAGTGATTGATTCAAAGGCGAAGGTAGGATTATATGAAGAGAGATTTCAAATGTCACAACGAAAATTAATGACCTGACTGAAGCAATGCTTGGCATTTCATTCATAGTACTAGCAACGCAAATTACATTCGGTAGGTTCAAATTTTTGGGGGATTTTACACAAATGTCAATATTATTTCGTAAATTTCTTATTGCAATCAGTGACACGTTTGTTATTAAGACATTGCATGTATATCACATACAAGTCATACCTACCAGGACGCTAGGTATGGAAGCTGAATTCCAAGCATTGTGATACAGAACTAACTCCTTTGCCGCCATCTTAATGACCATTGACCTACTGCCAACATTGACCAGGTTGTCCGAAGCACCGTATACTGTTAACGTTTGTGGTGTGTCCCAGTGAGTGTGGTTGAAGGTCAGACCACAGTTAGTGTCTTTCAAGGCAATGGGGTCACTTGCGCACTGAACATTTTCAATAGGTATTTCTTGAAGTCTTATTGTTATGATACAGTTTTGCTCCATGTGTGTTTTTATTCTGAAATGAAAATAAATATAACTACACGTGGTATATGTTTTCTGTTGTTTGCATAAGGTGAGCAATTTGGAACAGTGTTATATTAGCTTGTTTGACATTCTGTGATGTCTCCAGCGTAAACTGATGATAAAATTGAATGTTATATTCTTCTATCCATTAAACCACGGAATCCAAATTGTCATGAAATAACACAGTTTATATGTGAAGTGCATTATATATAGTACGTAATATTTATAAAAAAACAATTAAAATATTTTAATTATATCGGGTCATAAAAATGACTGATGCGTAGCATATGTAATAATTTGTAATACTTTCCTCCACCGCCAAAACTTGGCACGTCCATAAATGACCTTAGCTGTTAACAGAACGTAAAACACAAATTAAAAAACGGTAACTCACTGTTCTTCAGGGGCATCCTCTGGGTAGAAACATCCGAGCGGAACGGTGAGCCTCACTATGACATCGACCGACTCACCTTCCGCTACCGAGTATTCTCTCTTGTCAGTCTGTAAGGTAAAAGTCAGTTCGATCTTGAATACTTACATAATATTTGTCTTACAGAATTTCCACTGAAAACCTCTTGTGAGATTAAAGCATGAACTACAATTATGAAGCTAAAATATAAATGCTCAGTACACTAAGGTTAGTATTTCTTTTGTTCAGTTTACATCACAAATTTTCATGAGATATTCTTCTTCTGTGGGCCTGAAGAACATATACCTATGCCTAAACATATAGACCACAACAGGTGCTTCTGATATTTATAAACAGTAGATTGATGATATTACCTCAAATCCAGCTTTGAAAAAGCCACTATAGGTCTTCTGGCCCAGGAGTCCTGCAGATTGTGTTCGAAGTCGAATTGCACAACGTACCTGTGATAAATCAAAAATGTCTATATGTGAATTGTTTCAAAACACCTACGGTACTTATTGTGTTTGGTAAATGTGGTTAATCAATCAACTTAAAATCTATTTATTAACCACAAAAAATCATATATTATAGTTATATACCATATAGTCATACCATCGCATGTTTGTATACTTACGCATTTCACTGCTTTCAGTTGTCATTCATAGGTAATATGAATGCCAACAGGACAATGGCAAATCTAACACGAAGCGCTAACGCTCTTTGTTGAAATTAGCTTTGTTCAGTTGGCATTTCTATTGCATATGACGGAAAACTGAAGACAATTTAATAAATTACGCCTAATAGTATTTATCACATAGTTTAATAAATAGAGCACCATCTGTCTAGGGAAAGTCAATCGTATCAAACGTAGCAATTATGACGTCATAACAGTGATGACATCAATAATCGCCTCATAATGTATATGAATGTCATCTGAATTTGGCAGGGTTATATACCTACAATGCCATACGATGGTAAATATAAGGTCCTTCAACCTATGCTCCTGTGTCATTGCTGTTACTCCTCTATTCTCATACAAACACAATTATACATGCTGTTTGTTAGCCATTTTAAGACTATTTCAAAATAATACTAGTAATGCTACCGTATTGATGATATAAACATCATGGCGGCTCAGTTGATATGCTCCAGGTTGTACATTTATAGCAGACTGTTTGTACTTGAAAACAATAAAATATAAAATGAACAAATTATTTTTTGCATAACTCCCTTTGCTGTAAAAAATATGCGCAGATAGTCTCTAACCTATATAACATCAAAAGCAAGACAGAACTACTATTTTTTTTTTTTTTTTAATTTTTTTAATGAAGGGAACCAAACAAATTTTCCATTTTTTATTTTTTTTTGCATTTGAATATTATATTTACCAGGAATCCAAGTGTGTATGAATCCCGCCAACATTCTTCCTTTAAACGGGTTGCCATGGTAAAATCGTTGTATTCAGCGTTGCTATGAGAACATGACGACAGAAGGTTGTCATTGATGTACCAGTCCACGTCGTACACAAAGAGAGCGGGGTTCTCGCCATTGGGAAAATGCACACCGCACTCAAATTTGATTTCGTGGATTTTGAAATCTTGTGGTATTACTTCGGGTATGCCTGGAGGTTTACCAATCCTTTCATCTAACCCAGTATTGACAGATACAGTAAAAGTCGTATCTAAGGCATCTGAAATAGACAACATCTATAATTAGGATTTCATGTGATGAAGGATTAAAATATGAGCAGAATTATGTAAACATAAACACATTTAAAAAGAAAAATCGAAAAAAAAAAAATACTTTACAAATTCATCAGGACCTTCATTGTAGAACAAAAAATAGGTATACCTTTCTACTCTTACTTTCTATTTTTTTCTTTGTTGTCTCTTGTCTTTAAGTCTTTAGCATTTAACTTAGTCTGTAATGATTCTTTTTTATCATGCCTCAAGAGAATGTTCTATTGCAGTTCACGTTTTCTATTGTAGAAGGTATTTCTGTCGAATGCCAAATTACGAATTATCTATCTAATAAACAATGGCAAATTCGTAGGGAGTATTAGATGTGAGCTGATGTCTCAGATTGGTCGGGTGCATCGTGCGTATGGAGAAATGTTACGAGGATGTTACGGAGGCACGGTGGTCTAGTGGTAGGACGACGGGCTCGTGACCAAAGGGTGGCGGGTTCGAGTCACGGCACGGCACTGTGTTGCACCTTTGAGCAAGATACTTTACTCCGCTTGTTCCAGCCTACTCAGCCATAAATGAGTGCGTGGTTACGCAGTGCTAGAATTGTAGAATGCTAGCTGTGAACGCCGAAATAGAAGCACCGGCTGTATGCTCCCAAAGGAGGTTGAGAACAATATTGGCTGGTTGCAAAGGCCCTATAACCATGGATAATAATTTGTGAACCGCTTTGAGACGACCTACGAACTAAGTTGTGATAAAGCGGTATATAAGAACCTCGAATTATTATTATTATTATTTAAGCGAATGATATATCCATTCGTTACTGAGTACCATTTGAGGCGTTAGATTGTAAACACATATGTATTGGATTGAGCTGCCTTTTTACTACATGCCTACATTGTAGTTTATATTCACACTATTTATTCTGAAAAGTCTGATTCCCGACTACCTCCATCAACATTCCTTATATCTACTGAAAATGTAAACATAACATCAACAGCAGACAAAACGCCCACGAGACCGGATACTAACATCACAAAGTACTAAAATGCTAGCAATCCATTCTTCTATCAGTTTTTTGATCGGTGGGCAAGAACCAATGATTTTCAGCCAAAAAGAATTTGTGTCTATCGGGATAACACAACATCTTGTATTACCACGGTGTGAAATACAGGACCTTGTGTTGCATATCATAAATACTGTCTAGTACGATAACACAACATCTTGTTTCACCACCATGTGAATACAGGCCCTTATGTTCCATATCATAAATACTGGCTGTTTTACTTTAGTGCGATTTAACAATTATGTAATAATGCAAACTCAATAACTCTACATAGTTTTCCATCAAATACGGGAATACATTTCATAAATGACAGTTACATATACTACCATACAAAATCGAAACATCAGTTGATATAGTCATCAGTGTAAGGCATGCTGTACTTACATTTACACCCGGGTGTAAATCCTGTGGCCGAAGTTTCTCCATCCGGGCATTGCATCTCGGTGCCTACAAAATCACAGAATTAATTAAATCTAGAAATGCAAATTAGTATGATAGTATGATGTATGAGTTACTGTGGTGTAAAGAGGCAGAAAGTAAAAAAAATGTTATTGAAGAAATTGTTTACCTAGATTTAATGGTACTAAGAATGATAGTATGTTTTGACAATGCCTTGGTTGAGCAACTGGAGGAATCAGCGACAAAACGTTATTTGGAAGGATACTTATGAAGCTTCAGAAATCAATACACAGACGAGGCAGGTCCATATCCTTATCATCAATGGGTGTATGGAAACATTTAACACAGGAGCGTGATTAGTTACATTTAGTATTTCGTTTGCAGACAATTGTTAAATGCATAGATACAATTTCCTTGTTGTGTTTAATTTGTGTACAAAGTGTATTCCAAGTAAGATATAACGTTTATAAATAATACATCTAAGATAAGATAAATGTGTATACATACTGTAATCATGGTAAGATATAGTGTGTAAACATGATAAATTCAAGATAAGACAGAAAGTATATTATAGTCATGGTAAGCTTATTATAATGTGTAAACATGATTGATTCAAAATAAGACATAGAGTATAATATTCAAGGTAGGATATAATGTGTACATTTGTAATCATAATGAATTCTAGATGAGACAAAATGTATAATATATTCATGGTAAGATTAAACGTGATTACGATGATTTTATTCATGGTTTCTTGTTAGCTTAATTCATATAAAGGTCATTTAATCACATAGGGATATTATTATTGTTACTTACATGTAGCTGGATAAACTATAATACTGATTGAGAATCCAGAATATTAACTGAACCACTCACCAAAGCAATATCCAAAATCCCCAGGTGGTCGCTGTAGATAGTACACATAGAAGGCCCCGCAGTTCTTTACTTCAATCTGCCATACAGCAGAACAGTCGAAAAAGAAACTCCTGCCGCATACGTTAACAAACTTCGTTACTCCATCCGAAGGTAAAGCTGAAAGGTGAAGTAACAGCCAAACGATTCTGAGACTAGTCCAAATGACATATTATTATTCTTAGATTTAGGATGGGTTTGTTTACAAGTAAATTGAATTCGTTTCTCTTAATACATAAACATTAACACCAGTATCAACATGAATAAGCTTTTCTTAATTAATTTCAAAATAGACATTTTAGTAATGCAGCTATTAAAAAAACACTTACTTAGAGTTGAGTGTTTATACAGTGTGATATTCCTCTAAATGTTCTAAACAAATCTTAAAATTTGTCTCGAAACATAAGTGATTTTCCATATAAATGAGCTTCTACTGTAGAAAGTTAATATATATTGATAACAACTTGTGTTTCGTCTCGGTTAATAAATCCTTTTTAGGTTCATAAAACCACATGTTCACCTCAACAAGTCCATAATTGATAAATATGAAGGGTCCATTACCTGGGGAGGTGGGTATTCTATAAAGGTTGTTTAAATAAATAAGGCTGTGCTATCAACTGTAAACTCACTGTCAAACATCCAGACGGGGTTCCGCGTGCCACACCTTTGATAAGACTTTGGTGCTGATGATGGAATGGTGCCCCCGGCTCCAGACATAGACCTGTACCAGCCTTCTCTTATAAGGACGTCATTCTTGTATACGCCATATGTGACGTATGCAGTTGACCTCCAGGGGTCATCCAAAACATCATAATTTTGAGGTTCACACGGATCTATATTTTTTCCTGAAACTTAAAAGACTGCGGGTTAACATATGAAGTATGTAGGTAACCTCCAGGGTTCATGCAAAACATCATATTTTGTCGTAACAAATTTAAAGTACATTTAGAGTTAGCCTGTTACGTATGCTGTTGACCTCCAGGTGTCATGCAGAAAAGCATAGTTTTGAGGATCACATGGACTCATATATTCCGCCTTTTTGTATTGCAGAGCTATCTGCTCTTGTGAGCAGGTATTGATTGTTACGTCATTTGTTTGTGAGAGTAACGTCATCAATTTTTAAGAAAACGACGTGATTTTTACACACAAACCAATGACGTAACATTCAATACCTGCTCACAAGAGAAGATAACTCTGCAATACGCAAAGACGGAATAGTTTGTCCTGAAAATTAACAGTACATTTAGAGTTAACCTGCTACGTATGTTGTTGACCTCAAGGGCTCATGCAAAATAGCATAGTTTTTAGTACATCATGGGTCTATAGTTTGTCCTGAACATTAAATATACAGTTAGAGTTAACATAATACGTATGCAGTAAATATTCGTGTGTCGTGCAGAAAAGCTTGTTTTTTAGAATCACATGGACCTATTCCGTCTTTGCATATTGCAGAGTTATCTTCACTTGGGAGCAGGTATCGATTGCTATGTCACTTGTTTGTGAGAGTAACGTCATTAACCATGTTTGAGAAAACGACGTAATTTTTTCACACCAACCAATAACGTAACAATCAATACCTGCTCCCAAGAGAAGATAACTCTGCAATACGCAAAGACGGAATAGCTTGTCCTACAACTAGAAGTACATTTAGAGATAGAGTGTCTACAAAGGTCAGACAAGTGCAGTTCGCTGTTTGCTTGGTTTGTAGAACCATTGGTTAGGCAGTGTTTGTCTGTGTGCACTTTTCATTAGACAGAAGTATTTATACAAAAGTGCACTTCAAAAGTTCCCATTAACTTTTTATATTATCCACTGACGTGACGAAAGGGTTTGTCAAACTTTGCATTTTGTAAGATCCAATGTCAATATAAATATGCAAATCAAGATTTACTTTACAATAAAAATAAAGTCAATACAAAAGTAAATATGTTTCGTCCTCACAGGAACAAAGGTTGATATGATACTCGTTTCTAATGTCTAATCGTGATAAGATTCAACAGACTTTATTTATAAGTTTGATGGGTATCAATGACAAATACTTATATTCAATCCTCATGTTTACATAGATGTATAGATACATGTACTGTTGATATGTACATATTAATTCAACTTTTCACGTTTTACTAAATAACGTAGATATGCTCCATTTTGTGAGATAGCTGACTTATTGAGGCACGTAACAACGTTTAAAAGGGACAATTAAGTGAAGTAAGTTGTTTTTATAATCTTGCCACAAAACTCCTAATCAGAAGCAGATCCTGCAAACTTGAAATTATTTTTTCGAATTATAATAGCATTAATTTTAAAGTTCAGAATACCCTGATCACGCTCAATATCGTCACATGTTGCACTATTTTCACTCAATTATTTTCCCAGGGCACGCAGATGTGTTTTTAACTGCATGTTTAAGAGTCAACAATATAGTAACAACGTAATCTTCTGAGAGAGAAGATCGGTACACGATGTACGATAAATATAATGTATGCCAGCCGCAGTTTTTACGAAAATTCCACTTGATAATGCACGTTTGAAAAAAAAACCTATTTAACATACAAATTCAGGTTAGTAATGATGGACTCCTGTACTTTTTAATAATCTATGTATATGGACTATTTCAAAAAAACAAATCTTCTGGGTTAAAGTGTCAGTCCTTTCGAGTATTCTGTGAAAACACACTAACCCATAACGCTAGTTTTCTGACTGTTATTACAGGTGTGTTTAAATGTGTGAAATATATAGCTAGAGTTCAACAAGAAAACCATTATTTTTTTTACTTTTCATTACAATTTTTAAAGGGACAATTTAGAGAAATACGAAACAAAATAGTACAAAGGATTGATCAAAATTACAGAAAGCAGGATAAAACGAATGCAAGAATGCCAATCGAAATGTTAGAAAAATAAGAAAACCCGGGCGACAGAACGAAAGACTCTTAACAAATATGATGACAGAACGTATGACAAAAAGAATTACGAGGCGTTAAGAAATAATTGATACAGCTTTAGCAGAAATGAATGAAAAAACGTTAGACATGATAGTTAAAAGCTTAGAAGAAACGAACGACAAAAGGTTATACATACACGTTCATGTACATGTATGACCGTACGAAAGAAAGACAAGATAAACGATAAGGAAAAAATCGAATCGAATAACAGAAGTAAAGTCAAAATAATCGAGAGACAACGTGATGAAATGTGAGAGAGCAATGAGTCATACAAGATTATATTTTTTGATGGTTTTGTAATTATAATCTAAACATTTCGAAACGTTTCCATCTATAATCAAGTAGTGTAAGAGGTTTTATCAATGACCCAACAAGACACGCATGGTTTGTAGGAATACGATGCGTTATTTTGAACAGACAAATGGTTATTAACCACGTAATGTCGTAGTGCAAATCTTACCTGTTGTTGATCTACACCAGACAACTAACAGCACAAGTATCCTTAACATCGTCAATGGCACATCCAAACGAACTCTGAGATTGAATAGCAGGCCCGATACGTTTATATAGGAATATTTTTAAATGACGTTCTTAACACTTAGGCATTAAGTAAATATATGCATGCTTCGCTTTCGTTTGTATTTTTCTACAAACAAAAATTACGTAATCATATTACTGATTTCTTACTTCATCGTTGATTGGATGCCAGCTTATTGGAGGATTGGTGGGCGTAGTGGATAGCGCACTCACCTTACACCAAGACGACCGGCGATCGTCTTTCGGACGTGAACAGTTTCTCCTGCTTCCACCTACATCCAGACCCCCTGCGCGCTCCGTCCAGGCCAACAGGAGTGATTAATATAAGCTGAGATAACTTGTGTCGTATTTTTTGTAAGATAAAAGTAAAAAATAAAAAATAAGATAACATATTTATACAGAAAAAATCAACTAACCCTTAGTTAATTTAAAATAAAAAATGTAAGTTCAATTATTAACTGCACCGTTTAGATACGCGTTTCAACGACTGCCAAATCCTTGTATTTTCTCCCTTTTTCATGTTTCTTGAATGTTTTAAATGAGGGAGTGTGGTATTCTTTTGTGATGTAGACATTCTTTGGATTTAAATTTGTCTCTTTTCTTTCCCCCTATCTCACAGACAAGTTAAAGTTAGTAATGATGGACTCCTGTACTTGTTAATTATCTATGTATATGGACTATTTAACACCCGGACCAACAAGAGTGATTAGTAAAAGTTTTAAAAACTTGTTTCCTAATTGTTGTAAAATAGATCAAGTTGGTGATAAGTTATTGTGCTTCACCGATATTTCATTGAATCGTTTTTGGACAATTGTGTCGTTTTCGGACAACTTATTATTTTAGGACAACTTATTGTTTTAGGACAACTTATTGTTTGCGAAATATTCTACTGTTTCTGGATGAAATTAACATTTCTGTGCGACTTAATTGGTCCCGGACAACTTAATTGATTTCCAAAGGACATCAGGATTCATGCAACAAGATCCGTCTTACTTCATCGACATTCACATAAATGAAATTTAATTAAGAAAATGTCTTAACTTTCCCTTAGAGAAACCTTATTCGGAGAGGGTGGAATCTATATACATCTGTATAACATATTTACACCTGACCGGGTTGGGTGCGTCTTGTACTTAAAACTAGGTGGTCCATGTGATGCTGATTATGTAAATAGGTGTTTGTACTATGACGTATGCAAACTCTATCCGTCTATAAACATTCAAGTTTATTTGTTAAACACTTTACTTTAGTTACCAAGAAACATCTCATCGTTGCTATTTTGATTTTTTTCGATAGTTATACACTGAAAAAGCATGGCTGTTGTACGCGTTGCAATCTTCGCCACACCCTTGAGGTTGATCAAATTTGAAGTACAAAGACAACGAGGCGCAGACAAGCACTCATTTCATAAAGACTTCCCTTCAATACTACAGGATAAACATATTGATTAATAATACTTGGTGCATGCTGTTATAATGATACAGTTTACAGGTCATGCCCAGGTACTAGCCTCGTCTGTCATTACACCCTTAATATACACAAGGCGTCCGATATATTAGGGCGTGAACTATCGTACAAGTAAGTTCGTTTCCTATCGTAGAAACACTTATTGACATTTAACAGCGTTCATGTTGTGTGTTTGGCACTACCCTCTAGGGATATTAACGATTCAGCGTGTTATCCCGGGGACAGCAGTGTCCGAAAATCTGAAACTCGACCATTCGATGTTTCATGAAGCCTACTGAAAAGTATACTTCATGATATATGGTATGATACATTAAATTATAGAAGAATATTTTTCCTGTCGATCTAGACTGCGCCCGGCGTGATATTATGAACGATTGTGACAAAATCGCATGTTCCCTGTAACGGGGTCATTTTACTAGTGGACGGAGTTACATGTAGCAACCTTGTTTATATTATGGTTGAATTGTATTGACAGACGGGATTAGTACCTTTAGGCAATATAATGCAAAGTCGTGTGGTTCATACTGTATAAATACAATGTTTTTCTACCACCCTATATAGCTAGTAGCCAAACTCCTATTTGCCTGGTACCTTCGGTTATTGTCCACGGGTCAATTCCACGAATTGATACAGTTGCCATTTTTGCGGCGATAATATATCTTCAATTTGCGTCCTCGACATCATTTTGCCCGCAATGGGTTTTTTATTTCTCCGTGAAGCAAATTAGACCTTTTACGGAGTAATGATGAATGTTTTTAAAGGATATTTG